GTCGATGTTTACACACCGCACAAGGTTCTCGTTTTAGTTTAGGTCAACCTAGGGGAGGCCCAGGTACCGTGATCGTCACTGGTGTTGGCCGTGAGCGGGAACTGAATCGATCACTCGAGAAACGGCGGCTGCCTCCCACATCCTTCCACCTGAAGGCAGGAAACCCCCACAAGCCACGCCCAGCGCTGACACTGCCGACGATGCCATTGACGTCACTAAGCCCCGGGCTTCACCTCCCGTCCAGCGTCACACATGGTAAGAGAGGCGAGAATGTTTCCCCACTGTTTTCGCGTTATCCGACTAGGCAGGTAAACGAGCGGATAGCCAGCCGGGGTAAGAGATTACTCGGGTAACCAGAGAAGCCAGCGCGAACGTCAGCCTACGGCCACACTGCTGGGATTCTACGCGGATGCCGTTGCCCACCACAGCTTCGTGTTGTTTCGGAGGAGCAGGCCGACGAACTTCTTCCTCGTCACTGGGTCGGACAGGAGACCCATGGCGACTCAGAGATCTTCCGTGCCGTTCTCCGCCAGGTCTGGGAAAAAAACGGCAAATCACAACCATTCGCGCTAAATCCCCGAGCCGCAAGGCTATCGCCGATGTCACGGCATCTTTAGGGTCCACACGGGAGAAGGCGTGTACTGCTGCGGTGTTGACTAGGGGCGGCAGCTCGCCCCGAACCGCGAAGTGCAGGGCAACAAAAGGACGTTGCTGCTCTGCCCCCCTGCATGATGCGTACCCATGGTTGGCCGTCACTCATGGACACCGCAGCCGGGACTCATCCTTTGCCGAAGCCCCCTCCCATGTCATCTATGGGAAGCGTCTCGGCGAAGCTACGTACGGTGCGAAGGAAGTCCGCACCAGACATTACACCTACGATCGGGCACATTGCGGGGCCGCTTTTGCCGTCGTCGTGCGCGTTGTTGTATCAAGTTAAACCGATCACAAATGTGCAGTCCTCTCGACATTTGGCAATGCAGCAGCCACTGCGGTGAACAATCAGGACTGAGCGACTTCCTGATTTAGCGACGATTTGAGCGGCACTCGTTTCTCGCTCGCAGTAGACGCGAGCCACGGTGGTGGACATTCCACGTTACTGTGACAGGGGCCGGTCGAGCATGTTAGCAAGTACGGTACAAATGATGCTGCTGCGTTGCACAAACGACGAGTTGAATTAGCTCGAGTAAGAGTATTGACGCAAGCTATTTGAAGGTCGCATCACGGGAATACTACCCGATCTACGAGCATGGTACATTTAGAACGGTCGAGGAAATGTAACGTGACTTTAAAAAGCATTAACATTTATTTAATTAACTGTAGAATCTAAAAAAAAAGGACGCTTCAAGCAATGAATGGCCGCTGGATTTGCTAGTTCGCATAAGCGCGCGGTCGCACGGAAGCGACGCCCATTGGCGGAGGGTCGACGGCCGACACCGATCGGACCAATAGCGTGGCGCGTTACTTACGACGTCTTCGATTGCCGGCCAATGGGAACCGGCGACACGGACGAGGTCGCTTAAGCAGACTGGGAAACCCAATTGACCGCGGCTAGCCTCGCTCAACGTCGCGGGATTTGTATTAAAGGGACGACGCCGTTGTTTGTCCTCGCGTGCAGAATGAAGCGATCGTAGCGCAGCGACAGGCGTCGGTCGAGCGAGATCGGCCCCACTAGTGGGGGGGAGCGACTCCGCGTGAGAGGAGCGCGCACGGCAGTGCAGGCCACGAGCCGCCCGTTGGTTCCGCGGGGGACGCGCTCCGTGGGAAACCGCCGACCGGCGCCGATTTTTGTTCCGGGTTGAATCGGATGTTCGTAAGTCGAGGAGTCCGTGTGTTGGAGGAATCCGATGAGCTGTAAAGCTCTTTTTCGCAGATGTCCAGTAGGGGCGGGTCAGAACGTTACAACAATAAAGTTACAAAAAAAAACACGATAGGAGTGCAAGAAAGGTAAACAAATCGCCCAAAACCGTACAAATACAACACCCAAACACGTACAACACCCAAACAAGTACAAATACAACACCCAACACGTACAAACACAACACCCAACACGTACAGATACAACACCCAACACGTACAAATACAACACCCAACACGTACAGATACAACACCCAACACGTACAAATGCAACACCCAAACACGTACAAATACAACACCCAACACGTACAAATACAACACCCAACACGTACAAATACAACACCCAACACGTACAAATACAACACCCAAACACGTAGAGATACAACACCCAACACGTACAAATACAACACCCAACACGTACAAATACAACACCCAACACGTACAAATACACCACCCAAACACGTACAAATACAACACCCAACACGTACAAATACAACACCCAACACGTACAAATACAACACCCAACACGTACAAATACAACACCCAAACCATCCCCATCCTACCAGGCAAAGCCCACTGAGGTATTAAATTATTTTTCAAAAGCAACCTGGCCACAAATGATAGCCTCAACAAAGTGGCTCATCCCCCCCCCCACCTACACCCCCCCACCTACACCCCCCCCACCTACACCCCCCCCCACCTACACACCCCCCCCCACCTACACCCCCTCCACCTACACCCCCCCACCTACACCCCCCCCCACCTACACACCCCCCCCCCACCTACACACCCCCACTTACACTCCCCCCACCTACACACCCCCCCCCACTTACACCCCCCCCCACCTACACACCCCCCCCCCCACCTACACCCCCCCCCCCCACCTACACACCCCCCCCACCTACACACCCCCACTTACACTCCCCCACTTACACTCCCCCCACCTACACCCCCTCCACACCCCCCCCACCTACACCCCCCCCCCACTTACACCCCCCCACCTACACCCCCCCCCACCTACACACTCCCCCCACCTACACACCCCCCCCACTTACACTCCCCCCCCACCTACACTCCCCCCCCCACCTACACACCCCCCCCCCCCACCTACACACCCCCCCCCCACTTAAACTCCCCCCCACCTACACACCCCCCCCACTTACACTCCCCCCCACCTACAACCCCCCCCACCTACACCCCCCCACCTACACCCCCCCACCTACACACCCCCCCACCTACACCCCACCTACACCCCCCCCCCACTTACACTCCCCCCCACCTACACCCCCCCCCACCTACACACCCCCCCCACCTACACACACCCCCACCTACATCCCCCCCCCCACCTACATCCCCCCCCCCCACCTACATCCCCCCCCCCACCTACACCCCCCCCCCCACCTACACCCCCCCCCACCTACACCCCCCCCCACCTACACACCCCCCCACCTACACCCCCCCCACCTACACACCCCCCCCCACACCTACCAGCTGATATTTGATGCACCCCATATTTAGTTTTAATAAATCCCGGACTCTTTCGACGACTTGGGACTAAGCATCTTGCTTGTGCCAAGCGCTCCACTTACCGTACGCTACCAATACCCGGACCATGTTTATTATATATACACAGAGGTGCGCATCGAGACACACACAAAAATACGGTTAAACGTATAAAAAAAACTTCAAATTACAGTTTAATTTTTTTTTTAAGATTTCGGATATATAAAAACCAAGCTTTACATAACTGTATGCTCAAACACTACACGGTTATTAACAAAAAAATAAAACGGCATTTTCGTACAACAGTAGTTAAATCTTTAAATGTCAACAATGTGCGCACAAAAAAAACTATCTAAACGATGAAATTAAAAGTGACTATTTTACAGTCTAAGCGATTCAGAATAAAGGGGGTTAACACTTCGTAAAATACACTGGGGTCTGATCACGCGAATGTCTACTACTGCGAAGGCGACAAAGGCAGCAGGCAAATGAAAACGGGCCAGGCTCTCAAATCTAGCGGTGGGAATGGCTTGGTGCGACCCTATCACTTAAAGCAGAAGCACGCAAAAACTGTAATCCACACACATTCACAGGTTTTTTTTTTTAACATTGACCGGGCATGCTCGTGGACTGTTGCGTTGAAATAAAATTAAAGTTTTAGTTTATTCCAGGTGCAGGAAGGGGAGGCGGGGGGGTGTTGTTAATATACGGTGGTCCATTTATAGATGCCCACTAAAATAAATAATAGGGTGGGGGAAAAAAATAGAAAGCAACGTTTTTAGTTAAAAAGTCTCCATCTCCCACTCCGATTGGCTACGTGCGGTGCGAAAGAAGTTCTACATACATATAAATCAATACAATTACTACATCTGTTATCACTCTACTCCATGACATCTGGAGCCACTCGCACAAATATTTTGTTTTAGCTGTAAGAGGGTCGTCAGAAATCAGTGGGGCATATCGAATAACTGGATCACCATGTTCGTTGCCAATTTCACTTGCAACAGAATTACAGCACGGGACACGAATCCCCCCCACCCACCCCCCAACACATTGTGACAAAAGCATTAACTTGGGTGTTCATGTCTTTTTAAATGCTATATATCACAAACAATTGGTTTTGATATTCCGTTTTCTCAGAGCTACTGGCGCCTTCTCAACTGTGGTTCTATTCGGTAAAGTCACGTAGGTAAAAAAATAAAACAAAAATCACGACGTTTCGGCCACAACACAAGCGGCCTTCATCAGGTGAAGGGAGCAGACTGTCCCGAGGACAGCGCCAACTGTGTTGTGGCCGAAACGTCGTGATTTTTGTTGTTTTAGTTTTTACCTACGTGACTTTACCGAATAGAACCAAAGAGTATGGATCCTTGCAGTCACGAAAGCTTTAAATCTAGAATTGTGGATCCGACGTGAAAACATTGTGCTGTAAAGATAGGCAGGCAAACAATCTTCACATATTTAAAAGACTTGCAATGTAAATTGTACACTTAATCACATGCTCCCTTGATGAAATAAAAAACGTTAACTTTACATTTTTTTTAAAATATCCTAATACCATAAGTTGGCATTAACAAATAAAAATGTTCGATTTTTTTCCAGTGCTTATTGTTAGTATTATTATGCTCTCGATTTTTACGGTGGTATGCTGGTGATGGTGGTAATTCAGGCAGCGATGATGACTGTATTCGGAACAAGGAAATGCCCGTCTCTCGGAATGAACATATGAATTAAAATTTCCACAACTGATTACTTTGAAAAATTTAACTGCATAAACACAGCGAAAAGTCCAACTGTGGCTTTTCTGCAAATTAAACTAATTGGATTTTTTTTTGCATTTTAAGTAATGTTTACACTTTTTTTTTTACAGAAACAAAACAGAAAACCCGCAAAAACCTGTCCTTCAACTGCAGGTCACAGTAAATGTCCCCGAAACGTAAATGTACACAGACAGAACACGCCGTGCCGTGCCCCACAAATAATCTTGCAGCAGTGGTTGCAGACTCGCGGTCGCAACTTCAACATGGGACGGTGTCAAATCTTTTATGTACACGGCTGTACACGGCTTCTACACTTTCCGAGAAGCAGTCTTGAGCGCAAAACACAATGGCCTTCCCCACAAGCAGAAAGAAAAAAGTTACTCCCTAAACGTATTCAGCATTTCTCTTTGGCAGAATAAAAGCTGGTGATGATGAATGAGCTCTGAACGATGCTACTTATCTGTAAAAGTTAAAACTCTGGGGACATCTGGCGAGTTTGCTGAGCGAAAATGATTCCCATTTAAAAAAAAAAAAGTTTTGCCCCAACGAGTTACGTAGAGGAGCATTGTGTCGTGTTATAAATTTCAGCTGGTTTTTCAGAATGTCTTTGCAATGTAAAACAGGGGCGGTCGTGTTAACAGGACTGTGGGTCACATGCATAGATATACAAACCTATTTTTTGCATTCCCTCGATTTGCTAGAACAGATTCCTCTCCAGAATGTCATAGTTCTTGTACATTTCAAATTTAAAAGTGCAAATCGCCTTCTGTGCCTAGCCTCGCTCAACTGTTTTGATGAAAATTGTTAGATTTAGTCTAGATTTGTGAACATTTTTAAACGCTTAATCAAAAAATATTCCACGCACTCGAAATGGTGCGATGTATCCCAAGAGCGAAATGCCGTTTCACGCATCTCATGGGGTTCATCTCCTGGCGAAACAAACTCCTGGAGACTTGGCCACGTACGGCCTTTTTGTCAATCCACTGCTGGACGACGGCCTCCCCACATCGTGTTGGTCACGGGAATGCTTTGACCACACTTCACAATGCAGGTTGAAGGTGAGGAACGTAGCTGGAGCGTGCAATGATGTACGTTTTGTTGCACTGTCCTCTGCTGACATTATAGCCCCGTACCAGCTACAACTGTTTTTTTTATGCAGAGTGGTTACTGCAGAATCGTAGGCATGCCTCCTCCCTGTTCGTACGCATGTAGATCTGGTGGACATGATGGAAGGCCGGTCCTTATATTTCTAAGCGTGAACCGCGTTCCGTATTTCTGACACTTTTTGAGACATAAATGCTCTGTCCGGGCACGTTCGCGCACACAAACATTAATCACCGCTTTTGTGGCGGAGTTGGTGGCTCACGCGGAGATTAATGTATATCGCGAGACACCCAACCTGCTGCTCCACGGAGTGGCCATAAGTTGGCAGTGAAGCAAGCGGGTTGATGAATTATCGACGGATGCGTGCTTTTTTTTTTGATACTCAATTTTTTTCCCCACTTACAAAATGGTAAGAGATTGACTTCACGTACTAATGCAGGATTCGACTGATAAGAGTCCCGAGACTCAGCGAAACTCCGCCAGATAAATTATAATACGGTACATCACATATCCCACTCATTGTGGACTGAGTTGTAGGCGGATATGTGAAACGGTTGGATATGTGTACATCTATAGAATATGGCAGTTGCACTATCATGTCCAAATGGGTTACTGGAAAGAAGCAAAACGCAAACTGATTAAAACGTGGGGAAGAGATTCACTTGTGCCTCATAAGTGAGCGGATGCATGCGAGATTGAGAACATAGCTGTGTGTAAAAAGGTGTGATGTGTGAACATCTACTAGAAAACGGCAGTGACACTGTGCACAAATACTGCGAATGGATGTGGGGTGGCTAATTGGTCGTGGCGTTTATGCGACGTTATATACCAGAGAGTATTATTTAGCCGAAATATTTTTTTTTATGGCTTGGAATCTGCTCTGAACAAAGTTATTCCTTTTTTTGTCATTCAATTCGCAAGCTTTGTTTACATGGATTTTTATATTTTTAATCTCTGCTGCTTAGGAGAAAAGTGCAGTGCTTTGCCTTGTAAAGGAATGTAAGATGCTTTGATGCGACAAAACATGGGGCTGAGCTAGCAGGGAGTTTGCCAAGCAGATAATCAAACTTGCAAATCTCTGCATGGGGCTCAAAAGGATTCTGTTAAGAGATACAATCTTCAACAGCCAGTAGAGGTCTCAGTCCATCCCACATCTGAAATTCAAACAGAAACATAAAAAAATGTTATTGGTGTAAATGATCGTGACCTTCGTGTTCTTCACAAGACATCGTTTTTTGGGCTTTTTAAATATGCGCAGCCTCGGTACGATGTGAATAATTAAAAAGGTAGCATGATTGTTTAATGGCCAAAGCAGAACATTTAATTTGTGTACCAATGGACCTCTGCAACAATGCAAGCAAGCAGGAATTGTTTAAACAAGCCAAAGCTTTTAATACATTTTTGATGAGATTCACTGAAGCTGTAACCACTCCAAATGATACCAGGACATAATAAAATTGCTTCTGGGAATAACAACACTCCTTTGACGGCTTATTTTTAAGTTTCGTGCAATGTTAACTTAGAATGTAATGACTAAATTAAAGCCACAGACTAAGACCCGGTTGAAAACCCCGCAAGGCTGTCAGCAATCGGACGAAGACCAACACGAGACAAAAATGCCGATTACGTTAACACCGATGCCATAAGCTGTCGCCATATACAATCGCAAGGCGAGACAGACCCACTGGCCATCTCTGTCCTCCTTGGGCTGTTGCCTTGCCGTTTCAGATAACAGTGATCGGGGGTCTAACGTCGATCCACTTTGGGAAAGACAATCCGAGCACGTGGTTTAAGCCCCAGCGCCGAAACAGAAGCTGCAGGCAGGGGCTCGCTTACGAACACAGGGCTACGCGGGTCAACAGAGCGGAACCCCCTCTGCCCGGCTGCATGAAGACATCGAGTGAAGTCTCCCCTGACTTCACACCGACATCAACAGCAATGTGAAGAAGAGGTGCAGCCCTGAAATGTCTTGCTCACGCCACTTGCAGCGGAAGGGCCCCCCGGCAGAGGGAGCTTTAGAGAGCCCCCTTTATTTATATATAAGATTGGGGTATTTGTATCTAGGGGACCCTTTTTGCCCGTATCAAGATGATGGGGGAAAAAAAGTTTAGACTTTTATCCTTTCTGGCAAGAACACAGGTGTTAACATGTTCAAAACATAAAATAGACACCTATTGGAAGGCCTACCCTTCCATGTTGGACATTAAGCCTGGTATGGCCTCTCTCCACCACTCACCTAGCATTTTTTTTCATGTTTAAAATGCCTCGCCTATGATCACCACACTGACAGTGGTGAGCAATCGTGAATGTAAACACTGATGGGGGTTACCGTGTAGCCATCAAGCCATGCCAGGAATTTAATGCAATGTTACTGACCATGTATAACCCCTTAACCATTTGCTGCTGATGATAGCGTCTATTTACCCCGCCTCTTCATCCTCGCAGTCGTCTGACACTCCATCCTCCTCGTCCAGCTCCATGTCAAATTCGCTGGCGAGTCCGGAGTCTCGCAGCAGCGAGTACGCACTGTGCACCACACCCAGCGGAGACACCGTCAGCATTCACCTCCACACACACCGGTGGCTGTGTGCGCGCGAGCGGCTTTGACTGGGCATGCCTGTGTATGCCGTGGTGGCGAGATGTTTACTGCCTCGCCTGGTATACTGGTGGTTATGAGGTTCGATCACAACTCTGACGCATGTATATATTAAGTTTGCGTGTCCTCCCCGTGGTCGCGTAGACTTTCCTCCGGATCCTCCGGTTTATCCCTCCACATTTAGTAAAGCGAGTTTAGAGTATTTGGCTGCGAGAAATTTCAACTTGATAAGTCACTTCGTTGAGCTATCATATGTGTGGCCAGGTCTGAAAAAGAGCTATGTAGCTCAGTGGGCCTTACCTAGTAAAAGAAAAATGGTTAGTATTGTACGGCTGTGTGTGCATCGCAGAGCAGGTTTTGGCTCCAACGCGCACACACACGTGTAACGCGTGGCTCTTGTGTGTGGAAGTCCAGTGGTGGTGCTACGACTTAAGTGACATGGGCGTTTATTTCCAGCCGTGGTAAAAACATAAGCTGTGAATATCTAAACTGGTCGTGGGCCTCCCCTAGGCAGACTCAGCCTCAAGTGAGTACCTGGCGCATCAGCACTGGGGAGGCAAGGGCGGACGGGCGTGGTTCTGACCACACCACCCCCCGTGCTCACTGCCAGCACTTGCCCCAACAGTCTGTGAATGCTACACAGGGGGATTTTTTTTGTCTGTGTGTCGTAAATAAGCCGCTACTCCTATAAACTCGCCTGTTGTTGTTGTTGTTGTTTACAATAAAGCGCGCTTTGCTTTTTACTGGTCAGTGGCGGGGGGGGGGGGGGGGGGCGGGGGGCACTGGTGCGCAGCATTGCGCGACGATGACGTTGCGAACACGGAAACACAAAACTGTCCCGCGTCGTGCGGGTACGGAATCCCCCCCCGCCCCCACCCCACCACAACGGCTCAGGAGCGGCAACGTAAGAGCGGCGCTCGCTCCTCCATCTCAGCCCAGCGGGCGGTCGTCGCCGACAGAAGGGGGGCAAAACCCACCTGACCGAACGACAGGTGAAAAACACAATGCGCTTGAGCTTCTTGTTGTAGAAGAAGTAGTTGAAGGACCACAGGCTGCCTTCCTCGCCATACGGGTCAGAGTCCAGGTCCGGGTTGTAGCTGCGGGGTCATGCAGGGGGGACACAGGAGGGCACAAATGTCGAGGGTAAATTAAGCGGCTGCGGGGTTTGCCCCTGCCACGAAAGCCGTTGACGTGCTCCTATTGTGACCCAAGATGCCCGGCCGTGAAAAAACAATTCACGTGGCCATAAACCTACGCACACAGACTAACAGCCTCATGTTCATTGCAGGGCACACACACACACACACACAAAAAACCGTCTAAAATTCCCCCACATGGTCTCGTATTGGCGAGCAATTATTATGGCTGGCATACCACATGATTGGGGTGGCCAGCATCTCGCTGGTACTGACATGCCATAAAATATACCAGTCTCTCTTCTTTACCAACTCAGTTCAACGACACTCAAGTTGTCTGCCCACGTGCCAAGTGCATTGGGGTCGCTTACAAAGCGACACTTGGTTTCGTTTCACCAATTCTAAACGCCTGTCCGTAGGCCAATTTAGCCAGCAATGACGTTAGTTCAAGAGGCCTCTAAACATCCAACACTTGGTAAGCAGACAGCTTGTTACATGGTACACGTAGGCCAATTTAGCCAGCAATGACGTTAGTTCAAGAGGCCTCTCACATCCAACACTTGGTAAGCAGACAGCTTGTTACATGGTACACGTAGGCCAATTTAGCCAGCAATGACGTTAGTTCAAGAGGCCTCTCACATCCAACACTTGGTAAGCAGACAGCTTGTTACATGGTACACCGACATATTTAATCCTCTGAGTTGGCATCTGCCAAAAAAGGGGGGGGGGAAAGACATTTTATTTTCTCTTTGTACTAATTGGTGACCAGGCTGACTAAATAAAAAAACAATGGAGAGCATCATCTGAGAATGCGAGCAACAAAATAAATAGCAGACAATTCACCTATGACACGTATCTGTCCCTCCACGTGAAAAGTATTTGTTTACACATCCCATCAGCTATCAACTCGGTGCACTTGAGAACCTGCTTTAATAGTGAGTAGATGAATCTCGGGCTCAAACACAGCATCTCTGCCGTCTCCTTATAGCGTGCGGCCGGTACAGAGCAACACATTGAGACGTTCAATTTGAGGTTGGTTAGCCCCTGAATTGTGTCACCCTGAGCGCCCGTGTAGCACCAGCGAGACCCCTTTTTGTTCCTGTCCAGGGGAGCGTGTCGCCGTGAGCTCCGCCGTCTGCTCAGGGTGGCCACAATCGCGGGTAAGAGGATCCCTTGGAGTTTCCATCTGTGCATGAGGTGTCAGCGTGGCCTGCACGGATCAGTTTTACCGCGGTCCACTGCGCCCGTGGTAGGTTCATTCCAGGTCGTCGTTCCGCGGGATCGTGAACTACGTTCGTGCCTTTAAATTGTCACGATACCTCGCCGATCTCGTCGAGGAGCATAGACCATCACGCGAACTCCGATCGTCCTCGAAGCAGCGGCGGCTGTTGGCCGGCCATCGGACAAAGGCGGTCACCGCATCGCGCGGCGCTTTAAAGATGCGCTTCTGCGGCCGTCTGCAATGCTCTGTCTTGGGAAGCCACTGGAGCTATGCACTCTTAAATCTAGATTGAAAACTAATTTCTCGAGAACTGCTTTTTGTGTTTAGGCTGTAGTCCTTCCCCAGCACCTCAGATTAGCACGTTTACCTACATACGGTGCGAAAGACGTTCGACATGCGTACATACAACTTACAAACATAGACACAACATACACACAACATACACGCACGCACAAAAATGCCGTGTTGGTTCAACGCTCTGACATGGACTTTAGTCCATCGTGCAAGCCGCTTCAAAATGGGAATCATTTCTCTCGGGAGTGGATCTACCGTGCGTCGTCCACACTCGCCGTCCACACTTACCTGTAGATGTCGCACTCGTTCATGCCAATCTCGTCGTCGATGGCTTTCCACAGCAACGGCTTCAAATCTCCAAATTCTCCTCCAGCCGCCGACGAGAGGCTGCTGTTGACGGCATTCGTGACCTACAGCACGGGAGACAAAGGCAAAAAAACCCATCAGCGAGTGACGCTCCCGGTTGGCGCGCCACGCACAAACCCAGCTACCCGAGTTTCAGTCCAGGCCATGGTTAACATTGGTGACGAGTGACAGCTGAATGGGCTCTCAACTGGCCCACACCCCTTCACCAACCACTTCACGCTCTCACAAGCTCTCCCCTCCAGCTACCAAGGCTTTCTGCAACCTCCCACCTAGGCAGTGGGAGATTGCTCTTTTAACCTTGTGCTGTTGACTCCCTGTCACCATCCAAGTTCAGGCTCGAGACCTTCCTTTTTGACATCTGCCTATGACCGACTGCCTCTCTATAAAATAAATACACTTGCTGTTTGAGTCTAGCAGTCTTGTTAAGTAGTTGCATTAATGCAGTGGTTTAATACAGTGGTCTTGTAACAACAACAACAAACGCTGTTGACCTGCGGTTCTAATTGAATTGACACCGACCCGAGGTTTGCCCTCATGACCTTCAATGTGCGAGTGGAGCGCTCTGCCACTGCGTCACCCAGCTGGATGCGTCTCAGCAGATTTACATTTCCGCTTTGCCACCTTGTGTGTACGTACGTTGAACTTCTTTAGCACCGAACTTTACGAACCGTGCTAATCGGAAATGCGGCGGAAGGACACCGAATTAAACACAAAAAGCAGTTTTATAAAAAAAAATGCGTTTACAATCTAGATGATTTAAAAGTGCATAGCTTCACAGTGGCTTTCTAAAATTGGAAGGAAGAGCATTCCAGACTGCCGCAGAAGCGCATCTGAAAGCGCGCGATGCCGAGACTGTCTTTGTTCGATGGTTAGCCAAAAGCCGCCACTGCTGCTGAGGATGACCGGAGATTGCGTGGTGGTTTATGCTCCTTGATGAGATCAGCAAGGTATCGTGGTTCGTGGAAAGCAGAATCACAATTAGACAAGTGCGACGTTATAAAGGAGCCAGGGAGGGATGGAGAGATGGAGGGGGGAGGTAGTGAACCATACCCAGCTGAGGCTGGGCTCCTTGCTGAAATCGTGGCTCTTGGCGCGGCTGAAGTCGTAGTCGGGCTTGAAGGAGGCGTTGAGCGTGGCGATCAGGTAGAAGAGGGTCTTGCGGCAGCACGTGTCGCACAGAGGGTGCTCCCCCTCGTCCCCGCTCTGGCTCTTGCTCAGCCTGCGCGTGACGACCACGACAACATTGCTCGAAATTAGCGTGTGTGGATATATCTATCGCGTTCTGCATATAATGAGGTCTTTGTGGGGGGGGGGGGGGGGAGAGTCACTTCCAAATGTATGTAACTTTTCAAAAGTAAAAAAATCACATTGCGAAGCTCGAAAAATCTGAACGCGGTGCAAAAACAAGGCCAGCTTGTTGGTATCGGCGTCGCCACGCCGCTTGGAAACATCAATCCAGGCAGTCTCAGAGTAGTCACGAGAGATAAAGGCGCAGCCTGCAGCTACTCGCTTGCAAGGACCTCTACCAGAACGAGCTCCAGAGAGCCCCCTCTGGAGAATGATCTTGGCCTGCTGTTTGACGCTGGCCACCAGACAGCTTAGAAGAGTGCCCCGCAATGAACCCCACCACACGCGACCTGCCGATCAACCAAAGGTGGCGTCGGCAGGGTCAGACGCTGAACGTTGCTGAATGTGGCTCTCGAGCAAAGGTACCGACACACGGCCTGCGATCCCCCTTACTTGTTGGGGCTGATTCCGGACGTCTGTGGAGGGGAGAGCGCCTGCAGGAGGTGCGGTTCCCCCTCGGCGCAGAACTGCTTGAACATGTGCTTGTCGTCACCGGCCATTTTGCAGGAGTAGCTCTCGATTCTGATTGACCGCGGCAACAAAACGACACGGATCGACACGCTGTAAAGCATCTACTGCAGGGTCGTGAATTATTTTTTTGTTGTTTACATGATATCGATAACGACTTGGGAGAAAAACGATGGCATTGGTTTTCGATTTGACGGACATGTGTTCATGTGTCTCTTTCTATTGGAGCGTGCCAACGCGGTGGCCGACGAGGCCCCCACCGCTTGGTGCCCCACGATGGCTTTTGTCGAATCCACTGCCGCACGAAGGCCTCCCCACAACGCGTTGTTGTACGAGGGTTGTTTGAACGCAATATTTCACGAGATGGTCAGTGCGGGTTGCTGGAGGGAGTGGCACCGGGACCAGGTCAGGTATCACACAGCACCGGTGTTAGTTGTTGCCTGGGGGCGCCGTGGTGGCGAGATGTTAACTACCTCGCCTGGTATGCAAAGAGGTCGTGGGTTCGATCCCAACCCTGATGCCTGTATATTTGAAGTTTGCGTGTCTCTCTCTCGCCGTGGTCGTGTGGATTTTTCTCCGGGTGCTCCGGTTTTTCCCTCCACATTTAGAAACATGCATTTAAAGTACTCGGCTGTTTTTAATTTCCATCTGATAAGCCACCTCCTTGAGCTATCATTTGTGGCCAGGTCGCTTCTGAAAAAGAGCTGCATAGCTCAGTGGGCCTCACCTGGTAAATTAAAAATAGTTTAAAATAGTTTATTCTTGTAATGGGTTCATAGTACTGCGCGTTAACCATGAAGCCACACACGCGCCACCCAGATATATCTGTTCGGCGTTCATTGGGCCGAGGGCAATAAAAGAAACACGAGGTGCCTAGCGCCCACCGACAATTGGAATTTCAACTCGCAAACCTCTACCCACAAGCACCACTGTGTCAAATGTTTTCAGTTAAATTTTGATCTAAAGCTTTCGTGACTGCAGTAATTCATATTCTTAGTTCTTTCGGTAAAGTCACGTTGAAGGGAAACAATAAAATAATAAAATATATATAAAACAATAAAAATTCTCACGACGTTTCGACCATAACACAAACGGTCGTCATGGTCGAAACGTCGTGAGAATTTTTAGTGTTTTATATATATTTTATTATTTTATTGTTTCCCTTCAACGTGACTTTACCGAAAGAACTAAGAATATGTTTTCAGTTGTTTTTCCTTACATTATAGAAGGAGCTCCCTGTGCAGGACGATGATATATTTAGGCAACCGCTGAGGCACAGGAGACAAGAAGGACTGGGGTGTTTTTTTTGCGCTTTGCTAACGTTGCACTGTACTCAAGGACCCCGTGATCTGGATACAAGTTGCTCCAGCCAGCACAAACGAAGCATCGTCATCCCACTTGACCAAATTAAATTGCAGCACATCCCACGTGACAAAACATCCCTCTACAGCACTGCCCTCGGTGCGGAGAGTAATTGCACTTGCCTCATCGCCTCCAAGAGGAACAACAGGTTGCCCCATCCCCTCTGAATAGGAATTCAAACTCGCAACCTTACAAGCTGATGAAACAGGTACAATTAACTAGCTGGTGATATAAAGACGACCGGCAGAACGAAACAGATGGTGTCCATAAAGATACCATCCAGTCTAAAAATAATTGTAATTTGACAGCAGTTTGAGCTGCGTTGTTGAAATGTCAGCAACATGTCACTTATACGCCGATGTTATTTTTACTCTTTGAGCCATCTTCATCGGCACACAACAACTGCGTTTAAACAATTACGACCGAGGTGTTGGGTGAACACCCGGAACTCTCTCAAATCTCAATACGACAGTCTGACACGTCGGCTCAATACGACGTGCATCGCCAACGCCACAGTGGCACACGCGGAGGTTTAGAGGCATGAGGCTCTCGCGACAACATCTTCACGCCACCCGGTGTATACTTTAATTAACCGTAACCAACATGCTGTCTTACCATCACGATTTAATTATGGATGATACCTTCAGGAACACCCCGCATGTTAGATGCATTTCCATTAGTACTGAGATATCCAGTTATTTAAGTGATCGATTGCTCTACTGATAATCTCCTTAATTTTATAATAATGGTTTTTGGGTTAGATTACGTTATTATGTGTCGCAACCCTCCACCACTCGACACGGCCAATCAATAAAAAAATGTGTCTCGTTAACAAAACGCCAATTAGTTACTTCTTCAGCCCACTGGTGTGTTTGAAGAGTGAATCCACATTTAGAATTTGCAAATCGCCACAAGATGCTGGATGTAATTACCAGCGAAACGTCGTACTCAAATTCTAAATGTTGTGGATTCACTCTTCAAACACACCGGTGGGCTGAAGAAGTAACTAATTGGCGTTTTGTTAACGTGACACATTATTTTGTTGATTGGCCGTGTCGGGTGGTGAAGGGTTGCGACAGATTTATAATAACGTGATCTAACCCAAAAACCTTTATGAATAATACTGGTCATGAAATCCTACGTGTTAAATCTCCTTAATTTACTCGGCTATATACCACGAACTGGACGGGAGGTGATGGGCAGGGCATTTGATGTCAACATTAACATCACCAGCAGCGTGATGCTGGGCGTGGCTTGTATAATAGGGTTTCCCACCTTCGCAAATCGTGATGTTGGGGAGGCTGCCATTTTTAACAAGTCCAAGTAATCGGCCATTATAAAGTTAGCCGATTACAATGTTCAGTTGATTAATCGTCCCAGCTCATTTAAACGTTTTGCCCACCCTCGGTTAAGCCGAAGCTGATTACTCGCACTGTGCTTGGCGCTAAACGTAAGATATGATATTCCAGTAGTCAGGGCAGTGCAGAGGTTTCTCTGGAGGCTTCCACCCTCGTTTGGACAGTCCTGGGTGTGGATCTGCTGGCTGGGTAACCTCTCTGAAGGTCGTAAGAGAAAATAGTCACTCTCAGTGCTGCTGTCAAATTTCCTGCTGCCCGACTCTCCCTCCTGCGGTGGAGCCAAAATTAGATTCCAAGGGCCAACAACAATAAAATGTACCTACTTGGTTCTTAAAATTGCAGCCTTCCCCGTCGCTGCTAAACTTCTTAATAATAACCTTTGCGAGGACAGTACATGGCGCGTAAAGGTCTCTGCAACTCCAGGGCCCTTACACGTCTCATCTCGAAAATTTGAAGGGGGTCCCCCCCCCAGCCCAGTGGGACCCCCAGTCCCTGTACGGCACAAGGCGACTCGGTGCCGGCCTGCAAGTGGGCATCAGTCTGCCAGCTGGGGGCACGGATTGCCGCGTATCATCCCGATAAAGAGTAATTCGCAGGTCACATTTTAAGTTTGTCAAATTTGGACCGTTACACCAGCACACAATGTCCTAGTCTTATCAAAATAACTTCACGGGATCCTGAATATCGACTGTGAAGGCATGTTGATACAAAATCAGTCTTAACCCGGGCGGCCGACCAAATACCAACCGCAAACCTTTGCAAACAAGCGGTGAACGTGTTACCTCCGGGCCATATCGCCACCCTAAATGTAAGCCTTCTATTTTCATTCGGGTCCACTTCTTAAACCGGGTGAGGAGGAAAAAACACTATGAACTACCCCCACAAGTTATTCCCCACTATTTACAAGCCTACAATTAAGCATTCTTCCTCATGTGTGTTTCAATGCACTAGAAGAGCTCATATTTGAAAATGATGAGTGCAAATGTTTGCAACATACATAATGGTGTTGGTTTTCTGTGTGTCAAAATTGCTAGCATTTCTTGAATGCTCAACACTTAAGAGAAATGTTCAATGCTAGCCTAACCAAGGAAAACAAATATCAGCTGGATGTGCCGTCTGCAAGCTTTGTTGATATACATTTGCCACTTGCCCCATTGCAGTACCTACTCGTGAAGCAAGGTCTCTATTGAAAAAAAAACCCTCTCAGTCTCAAAAGGTTACAAATAAGCATGTGAACTTGCACAACTCGCATTTGTATGAAACCCAAAGAGAAACACTGTCATTGCTAATGTCCAATGCTTACTAGAGCCATTATTATTCTTTAACATTTGTAAAGCCCCATACAAGCACCTACCAGTAAGATTGCATGCTCTGCTTAACTCGGTATGTTTATTATGTATTTCTTGTTGTTTTCCGTGTCCTGTAAAATGCGGTCCCTGATTGTACACCTTTGAATGTTGATATTTGTTTTACTCCATCAGTATTCTGTATTATTTGTTGTTCTGTATGCTAACGACATAACGTCTCCTATAAGATATTCCGTGGGTCTCTCTTGCTAAGCAGCCTATGGCTGAAATGAAGATTGATGCACAGCGCAGTAGTATGGGTATGAAAGATTTAATCATTTGATCTCTCAACTCTGCTACGTGTGGGGTTTCTCTAGTTCTACCTAATGAGTCAACAGAAATTATATAAATGGAACTGGCCAAACGCAAGGGAACAGTATGTAAATACGACACTTCATACGAGGATGTATGCTTAACGAGTCGCACTATTCACTTAAGAGATCAAACACACATTTTAAATGTTGGATTAAGAAATCATGGTTTTCCTTTACTTTGTGGGGATATTGTTTTTTTTGAAATATTATTTTTGGTATTTGTTTTGCTGTTTCACTCAGCGTTTCGATTGTTTGGTTTTGCATTCCCCTAATTCCCGTGTTATTGTATTATCTGTTGGTATGGTATGCACGTGGAGATTATTTTGGGTTGTGCTCATTGTTCTAACGCGTGCATAAATAACGATTTGGATTTGCTTGCAAGAATATGCCAGTGTCAAATCTACGTTGCCTTTTCATTGGAAAAATATGGCATCCATGTATTTATTGCAATCCACGTTCTCCGTTTAAATACTCGTGCTGCAGCATACATTTTAAATAGGGGTTCTACATTTTCCAGGAAATGCAAGGAGTGCGAACTTACCGACAGATGTGACCGTGGTTTTTCTGCACTGCACCAAGGCTCCATGCGGATAAGCCTATACATCTAAAGAGCAGTTAACTATTTAAGGTGTGTTTAGGTCCACATGCATTGAACGCGGTTCGTTTTTACATGGGAGTGGTGGTGCAACGGTTGGCGCACTGGGCAAATAACGCGGCGAACAGCGACGGTGATGAGAGATGTGACCATACTCGAGACTTCCCTGCCTTCACCAAACAAGCACTTTGCCCATTGTGAAGCTAGTTAACAAAACAAATCCACCACCGAAAAAGACACAGGTTGGCCTTCATCCAGCAGTGGAGCGTTGATAGGGGGCGGCACACTACGGATGTATTGGAGGTGTTGACGTGGTCCTTTAAAGGTATACCCAAGTATAACGAAAAACCTTTGAGTATAAACATCCTGTATACACGATTTTAATCACATTCAATGCACACATCTCCAGGTTAGCCTCACGCTGTGGCACTAACCAGCTGGCAAATATGAACACAATGCACCACCACAAGTATGCATCATAAATGCCACCGCCGTTAAGCTGCAAAACCCCCAGGTTCACTCATCACTCAGTGCCAGGCTAGGTGCACATCGACATGTTATCCGCCCCGCTCGTTGTTGTGAGCGTCGCTCCCCTGCCCTCCCGCTATCGAGGGCGACTGCCTCCGACTGCCCAACAGCAGCAGCGGCGGCGGCGTTCTTCACGGGCCTCCTCTTGACACGGCCGGTACCAATCACTGGCAAGTCCAACAACACGGACTGTAGGGGACAAGTGCTGTTAGCGAGTAGCACCTATGAAGGCCCGACCGCCTTTGTCTCCCCAGTGGCAATATTTATAATAAACCGCACGAGGTACTCATTTTGAGGCTAATTGTCACCGATGTGGGTCGTGAACGGGAATCGAACTCGGGCCGCCTGGTTCGTAGCGCAGCGCGCTAACCGCTACGCCATGTACACACACACACAGACATATATACACACATACACACACCACACACAGACACATATACACACACATACACCACACACATATACACCCCACAGACAATACACACCACACAGAAACATACATACACACCACACACAGACATATACACACATACATACACACCACATACATACATATACAAACATACATACACACCACACATATACACCACACATACACACCACACATACATACACACACACCACACACAGACACATATACACACATACATACACACCATACAAAGACACATACACACCACACATACATACACACACACAGACATATACACACCACACATACATACACACACAGACATATACACACCACACATACATACACACATACACCACACACAGACACATATACACATACATACACACCATACATACATACCACACATACATACATACATACACACCACACACAGACATATACACACATACATACACACCACACAGACACATATACACACATACATACACACCACACACATATACACACATATATACACACCACACACATACATACACACCACACAAAGACACACATACAATACACACCACACAGACAATACACACCACACAGACAATACACACCACACAGACCCAAACATACAGACACATATACACACATCATATACACACCACACAAAGACACACACCACACAGACACACCACACATATACACCACACATACGCACCACACAAAGACACACCACACATACACACCACACAAAGACACACCACACAAAGACATCACACAAAGACACCACACAAAGACACCACACAAAGACACATCATATACACACCACACATACACACCACACAAAGACACACCACACAAAGACACACCACACACATACACATCACACAAAGACACACCACACATACACACAAAGACACACCACACACACCACACAAAGACACACATCATACACACACCACAGACACCACACACATACACACCACACAAAGACACACCACACAAACGCACCACACAAAGAGACACCACACACATACACACCACACACACAAACAAACCACACAAAGACACACCACACACACACACACCTGCCAATGATGCGGCAGTCGCCCGTCTCGATGGTGAGCCGCGAGTTGATGGCTTCAAACTTCTCGTTCTCGAGGAGCTTCATCGTCGCGGTGGCGTCTCGCAGTAGCAGCAGGAGCAGCGACTCCACGGAGCAACTTCACAGTTCAAATCTTCCTCGGTCGACGCAACGCACTGGAAGTTTCGTGCCACTAGTCGCCCACTGCCGTTACTGGTCACTGATAAATCCTTTTAGGCCGAGGCGAGACTTAAAACAACAAGATTCGCTCCTCTAGCCGTCGTTGCCAAGAGCCACAAACCCGCACTGAAAATTTGCTGCTTTCGCCCGAGACCGAGCGAAGCGCCGGGCTCGCCTGGATTCCTCGCGGGGAAAGTCGCCTCTAAGACGGTAGGGTGGTGGTGGGTGGGGGGGTGCTACGATGACAGATGGCGGGGAAGAAAGGTGAACGTTGGGAGAATGCAGCAACAAATCCCGAAATCACAAAATCCAACAATGCGAATTTCTGAGTGCAAAAAAATTGTAACGAACGTTTAAAGTGTTTAAGGTTTCTTTAAGCGTTTAATTGCGTTGGCGACGGCGAACGACTCCGAGTCGCTCTTCGAAAACTGAATCCGCTAGGCCCGGGCCTCGGGGTCGCGCCGCTCTGGCAATCGGCCCGGGGCATCATCACAGCGGCCTTGTGTGGTGGATTCTTGAGGTTTTTTAAAAAAATATATATATATAAAACACACAAAAAAAACTCTGTAACGGCGATCTATTCACGCGTTTAAATCGAGCTGGCTAGACGGTCGGCAAATCGATCGTAAGTGGCGGGTGTCGAAGGGAAGTCGCGGAAGTTTGAAGAGACGGCGACGCTGCTGCTGCTGCTGCCAATGTTTTTAATTTAACTGCTGCGCAACGCCGCGTCTCGAACCTCGACGAGCCCTGGAGATTTGGTAGCGCGCACGCGCAACGGCGTGCGACCCCCCCCCCCACAAAACACCCCGCCCACCAATCCCCCCCCCACCAATCCTCCCCCCCACCAACCCCCCACCAAAACCCTCTCCCCACCAAACACCCCTCCCTCCATCAAACACATCCCCCCCCACCAAACATCCCCACTAAACACCCCCCACCAACCCCTCCCCCCACCAAACACCCCCCCACCAAACACATCCCCACTAAACACCCCCCACCAACCCCTCCCTCCACCAAACACCCCCCACCAAACACCCCCCTCCCCACTACCTCCACTTGCCGCTAGCGGAGTAAACAGCGGCGCCGATTGGTCGCCTGCGAAGTTCGATCGAGCCAATGGCGAGGCGTGCGGGGCAGGCCACGGGGTCGCGCGCGCTGAGCGTGGATTCGCCGAGACGTTGCGTCGTGCCCCCGCCCCGCAGACACCCAACAACCAATCAGTGAGCTGCGTCATGTAAACAAAACGTGCAAAATTAGTTACTTGAGCACACCGCTGTGTTGGGAGAGTTTGTTTTTGTTTGTTGGTGTAACTTATAGCTCATCGGATTCCTCCAGTATAAATATTTTGAAACCCACCACATTTGCAATTACTCTCCAACACACCTTTGTGCTGAAGTAGTAACGAAATGGCACGTTTTGTTGACGCAACAAACCGTACTAATTGGCTGTGGGGTGGTGGCGGGTTATCTTTACATCGATCTAAGGGGCCGTCCGTAAATGACGTCACGCACTTAGGTGGGGGGTCAGACATTTGTTTTATATATTTTTTATTATTTTATTGTTTCCCTTCAACGTGACTTTACCGAAATAGCTAAGATTATGAGGGTGGGGGGTTTGAGAAATGTGACGTCACATCAAAATGCGCAACTTTAAATAAATATAGACACGTTCTCCTTATATTCTTGGTTCTTTCGGTAAAGTCACGTAGAAGAGAAATAATAAAAATATTAAACAATAAAATTCTCACGACGTTTAGACTGCAACACAAGCAACCATCATCAGGTGTGATTTGGCAGTTATTGAGATGGACGAGTCCATCAATGTTCGGAAAAGAGGAGGGGGGAGACGAAAATAATGGATGCGGTCTGAAAGCCACCGTAAGCGTGAACAATCAATTAAGACCCGAAATGGTTTATCAAATCCTTCCAATGATTGCTAAGCCAGAATCTTTCTTCTCGGTTGAAATTGTCTTTGTATATTTATATGTGGATAGCCTCATGAACGAATCTCTCATGGTAGCCAGATGGCTTGCAAAGAACCTCTGTCTTGGAGAAGTCAATGTCATGTGAGCCTACTGAATTATAACAGTGATCTGCCACGGCCGAGGTGTTGGTCCTACCGTGTTTTAGGTCTGCTTTGTGTTCACGAATGCGGTCCGAGACATGTCGTTTGGTTTCTCCAATGTAACTACTACCACAGAGGCAACTTAGTTTGTAGACGCCAGGGTACTGTATGTCCGGAATCACATCTTTTACAGACGGAACCAGATCACGGATTTTATGTAATGTGTTGAATCTGACCTGGATCTTGTGTTTATTCAAGATTTTGGAGATCTTTTTTGTGATCCCCGGAATGTAGGGTAAAGTGATGGTTTTGAAAGGCTCAAGAGGGTCCTTCTTCATGGTTGGAGTGATAGCTTTGCAGATTGTGTAGTCGGAGTAACCATTAGCTTTAAGAGCTTGCTGTACGAGCTTGAGTTCACTGAATGTGTTCCTGGTTGGATATGCATTGGGCTCTATGGTGCAGTCTTGATGAGGGAATTCTTCTGGGATGGATGGTGGTGGGAATCCGGTTTCTGGTAAGCATCCATATGGGTAGCTTTCCTGTAGACAAAGTGGCTCATTGAACCATCAGGTCTCTTTTTTATTAGGACATCCAAAAAAGGTAGATTGCCATATTTTTCGACTTCCATGGTAAATCTGATGGCTGGGTGTATGGAATTGATGTGGTCGAGGAATTGGTCTAGAGCAGGCCGGCCATGTGGCCAGATGACAAAAGTGTCATCCACGTACCTCTTCCATAATGTTGGGCGCAGAGTGGCACTCTGGATGGCGTCAGTCTCAATCTTCTCCATGAAAATGTTGGCTACAACCCGAGATGGGGGGAGCCCATTGGGGTGCCTCAGTTTGTTTGTAGAAAGTTCCATTCCAAGTGAAGTATGTATTGGTTAAGCAGTGTCTCACCAGGGGGGGTACCTCAGTGTTTAGTCCTTGATGAACCAAGTCTTCAATGATTGCGATAGTGTCAGGTACAGGAACTTTGATGAATAAGGAAACTACATCAAAACTGACAAGCAGATCGTCTGGGAACAGGGAAATACCCTTGATTGTCGATACCAGGTGAGTAGAATTTTGTGACTGCAAAGTTTAGCCTTTTAGCTAATACAGATTTCAGACCATCGGAAATAGAACTGTTACTGTGATTAATTACGACTTTGTTAACGTCTAGCTTTTTGGAGAGGTTAAATTTGGAAATCAGGTTGTCCTTACATTTGGTCGACATAGTGGCAGCTGAAGAGGCAGTCATATTGTCTACATATTAAAGACTTTTTAATAAATGTTGTCTCCTACATCAGTGCAGCGCCACATTAAATACGCGCTACAATGGCAATAGTTTAAAGCGATTTGAAGCATGTTTTTTTGGGGGGGGCGGAGCTTTGTGACGTCATATTTGAGGGGGGTCTGACTTTTTGTGACGCCGTGTGACGAGGGGGGGGGTCAAAAGTCGTCTAAAATCGCATTACGTCATTTATGGACGGCCCCTAACCCAAAACACCTTCATTGTGCATATTTGTCGCGAAAGCCTACTACGTGTTCAACAGAGTAGGGATTGTATATTCTTTGGGCCTCTCGGTAAAGCCACGTAGAATATGAATTCCTGCAGTCACGAAAGCTTCAAGCCAAGAGTCGGGATTGTGATCGTCAACGCTGATCGAAGGCTGAGCGATTATCATTCACTGATGTTGGGAGATTTTTTTATCGATTTGTTAAAAAGTACAATCGAATAATCGACACGTTTGAAAATGTTGTAAAAGTTAAGGGAGTTGGAATCGATCCCTACGATCGTGGCGCTTTCTGACTCTAAAGCAGACAAATTTAAAAACACCCGAACGGTCTCTGCTGATTGGCTGGAGTTAATTGCGCTGGCTAATTATATGCGTAACGGCATGGTCTCAAATTACTCGTGGAAAATATCGGCACCACAACATCCAACACGAATTATTTTCCAGAGCTCAGCCCCAGACAACTCCGGCTGAGATTAATCACTGCACGTGCACTATTTAAAAACAAAACAGTCTCTTTTATGCATCAGCCTCAATCCACAGCTACATGAAGGCCTCCCAAGCCATGCATGCTGCCTTGGCATTGCCATGAATAGTGCCCCACTTGTGTGAGAAGTTGGGATTGTGGAGTCATTTCTCTGTTGTGGTTACTTGTTTGTGCCTTTTGTTTTAGTTCCATTTCTTTATTAATATTTTTTTTTATCTTGAGGGTTTTCATTTGCTTGGTAGTAGCTATGTACTGTATATATAGGATTTGGCCCTTATATATAATTAATGTGCAGCATTGTCGGATATAATTAGCATGAATCACACTATACAACTAAATTATTATTATGAAGAGTAGGTTTGAAGTGCTTTGGGAACAGTTTAACTTCCAGCACAAATGATTTGTACCCTGCATCAAATGTCGCATACATTCAGGAAATAATGCCAAGTGACCATCCAGTGTTTTTTTTATCAAAGAAGAACTGAACAGTAATTGTAGAGCTGTAATTAATCTAATACATTATGGTGACGATGCTGCGTTGCCAGTGGCACATGTGCGCAATTAACAAACCTCGTCAACATTTTAGAATAAGCCAAAGCAAGCTGCACAGAGGCGTTTGGAAACGCCATGCAGCAACAACACTGTTGGGAGAGCCCATGAAACTTTTTCTGAAATTACATCGGTCTCTACAAGCACACACTCTAGCTCTGTCCAGCGGCGGCCTTCATGGATGTTATAGGTGTGTTGTAAGCCGTTTAATACGTTACACTTAAACATTCAAAGAAAGCATTCAGGCTGCAACAACTTCAAGTGTTATTGAGAGGGAGGCTGTTGACATCCTTCCATGCAAGCTCACGTGGTCACAATAACAAGCCAACTATTACAACTTGTAACGAGGTAAAGGCACATCCCCGCAATTGCATCCTCTCGCCACTGCTGGCAGAAGGGCCTCCACGAGAAAACTTATCTAGAGGGTCAATCTAGATTAGAAGTTTGGCCTGCCTTCATATCCGCATCTCCAGTTTCCTAACCCTCCCACTCCCAGCACCGCCCACTTCCCCTCCCCGGCATTTTTTGCCGTGCTTGTACCTTAACTTGTAGCCTCCACTCCCACTACCCCACACCTCCACCCTCCCTGTCTCTCCTACCTGGCTCCCGCCCCCCCCCCCCCTTCTCTTGCCTATATGGCCTCTTGTTGCAGCAGCCCCTTTTGCCCACTTCAGCAATTGTTTCTTGCTGTGATTGTCCCACCTGATGACGGACGCTTGTGTTGCGCCCAAAACGTCGTGATTTAATTGATTTTACGTTATACCTACGTGACTTTACCGAAAGAACCAAAGAGTATTTATCTAGAGGGTACTGTGGCCTACTTTTCCACATCGGAAGGACATCCTGAAAGAGGTGGAAGGAACTCTCACAGGTAACATTACAGAAACATTTCCACCGCTTTGGGTAATCGTGAAACTGATTTTACCAACGCACCTATTCTATCCCAAACTGAAATAACTTTGTCCGTGGCATGCAGCTTGCCCTCAGCTGCCACAACTGCCGAACTCGGCGGTAAACTTGTTGAATTGATTTACTTCCTCTTTGGTCACCGTCGCATGGGCCTTCATCAGCGCGCACTTTAAGTCCATGAAGGTGAGCTTAGGGAGCTGCACCTGCACAGGGTTTCAAAGGGCAACAGAAACAACTTGGTTACAGAATATGATTAGTGACATCATCATCATTATCCTTTAACATATCGGCTTTCGCCATCAATATCATCCATGTTTTTTTTTGGGTTAGATCGCGTAAACGCGTAAATATAAATGTGTCATACTCTTTGGTTTTTTCGGAAAAGTCACGTAGGTAAAATATAATAAATTAAAATAAAACAATTAAATCACGACGTTTCGGAGGCAACACAAGCTTCCGTCTTCTTGCTGTGATTAGATTGTAAATATTCTTTGGGTCTTTCGGTAAAGTCACGTAGATAGGTTGAAAGAAAATAACAAAAAAACTACGACGTTTCGATCACAACACAAGCGATCGTCATCAGGAGGAAACAAAATTGTAAATGTTTTTTTTATTGTAAATGTTGTGGATTTGCTCTCCAACACACCGGTGTGCTGTACTAGTAACGAATTGGCTCGTTCTGTTTACGTGACAAACCTTACTAATTGGCTATGTCGGGTGGTGACGGGTTTAACGACACATTTACGTGATCTAATCTAAAAAAAACCCCTCTATTAAGGGAGTTTTTTTTTAAATAAACTGATCCCTTACGTTCGACACCACGGATGACGACTGAGCTCACCTGCTCGGGAGGAATATCGCGCAGCGTTGCCATTTTTGCGCCGTGTTTGTCTGGGCTGCATGGGGTCACTTTTCCACCTGGAGAAAAAACGCGACCAAATGTAGCACCATCATTAATGCGCTACTGTTATAAACGCCACTTAGTGTGGTGATCGCCGCTTCTGGCATTACGTAACAACCTAAACGCATCCGTGTGACAAATGTATGTTGTGGCTCTTCCAAATACATTGCCGACTGCTCATAAAATACAATGTTCATGTAAAGTGTTTTGCTTATCTTAAATGCAGAACATTACATTTCTACACTCCCTTGTCTTTGCGCCCCATCTTCACCAAGTATGGATATTTAACCCTCACAACCCTATCTAATCCAGTCATTGATCGAAAAATGGCTGGCTACAGGTGATGAATATGAAACTAGGCCTTTTTATATGAACTACACCAAAATTTAGTGTGGCAATTTTGACAAAAATGTTTTTTAAAAAGTAGATCTTACAACTTAAAATTAATTTCGATCTCATTTTACTTAAATGATTTAACCAAATTGGTGGCACTCAACCAGTTTACATCAACTCTTGATTATTTATCCAGGGTAAAAGGGAGGGGTAGAAGTGGGTTACACAGCGGACTAAAGTCCGTGTCGGAGCATTGGACCAACGCGGCGGAGATCCACTTGCATTCCCACAAACATTTTATATGGATAATGTATGTATTTTTAATTTCTTTCGCACCGTATGTACCCAACCGAGCTAATCGGAGGTGCGGGGGAAGGACAACAAACTAAACACAAAAAGCAGTTCTAAAGAAATGAGTTTTAAATCGAGATTTAAAAGCGCATAGCTCCAGTGGCTTCCGAATATCGTAAGGAAGAGCATTCCAGACGACTGCAGAAGTGCATCTGAAAGCGCGCGATGCAGTTACCATCTTTGTTCGATGGCCAGGCAAAAGCCGCTGCAAGGATGACCGGAGCTCGTACGATGATTTATGCTGCTTCACGAGATCAGCGAGGTATTGTGGTTCATTTGTGGCAAACGCTTTGTTTGTGTAATGAGTGCACTTTATGTTCAATGGTAATACCAAACACCGTGACATTTGGATAATAACACCGGTAATAAAAAAAATGTTATACCGGGCAGAGAGACCCAGGCGGTTGCCTTTTCAGCATGGCGTATGGGCTGGAAGAGTGCGTCGGACACGGCATTGCAAATGTCGCTCCCGCTGAAGCCCTCCGTCAGGTTCAACAAGGTCTCCATGAACACGTGGGACAGGTTCACTTCTTGCGAGCCTATGCACTTGCTGATGATGTCTCGTCGCGCCAATCTGGTTAAGGGCAAAGAGGCGGCAGCGCGTTTTGCCGCTCGATGCAAAGATTCGTGGTTCGAGTGCCGGGCGGCCACCCCGGTTAATGCTGCGGGAGGATTAACCAAACATAAAAACGTACCGCCTGCTTCACAGTGGAAGTTCAAGATCTTGGTGATGTTATTCAACAAGGATCTTGGTGATGTTATTCAACAAGGATCTTGGTGATTTTATTCAACAAGGATCTTGGTGATGTTATTCAACAAAGATCTTAGTGATGTTATTGAACAAAGGGTGGGCCATGAGTGTGCCAGGGTCAAGTCCCAAATTTATAAATGATAAGATTACCAGAAATTTACCCGAATTATGTGACGCCACATAGCAACATCACCCCCCCCCCCACCTACTTACCGTAAAAATACTGCAGAATACTCATCTGTGAAGTACAGAATCAGAATATTTTTTCATACTGGAGGAATCCGATGAGCTATAAAGCTCTTTTTCACAGATGTCCAGTAGGCGCACGGGGTCAGAACGTTACAACAACAAACATTACATGAACACGATAGGAGTGCAAACTAAAGTTTAGGAAAGATAAACAAATCACTTTAAAAATTTACAAATAAAACTGAGCCATTTTGTTATCTTATCAGGTAAAGCCCACTGAGGTATTCACTTATTTTTCAGAAGCGACCTGGTTTATAACAAATGAAAGTTCAACAAAGTGACTCATTATGTTGAAAATTATAGCAGCCAGATACTACAAACGGACGTTGATTCTAAATGTGGAGTGAAAAGCCAGAGGACCCGGAGAAAAATCCACGCGACCACGGGGAGAGAGACACGTAAACTCAAAATATACAGCAGCAGCAGGCGTCAGGGTCGGGATTGCACCCAGAACCTCCTGCATACCAGGCGAGACAGATAACATTTTGCAACTGCGGTTACCCAACACGTTATATGAAAGGAAAAAAAAGCGTAAATAACACGAATGCTGTGGTCCGTGTCGGGGCCAGACCTGTTGGGCAGCGGGATGCAAATCCTGCGCTGGAAGCGGCGGACAAACGCCGTGTCCAGGTCCCAGGGGCAGTTGGTGGCGCAGATGAGGAAGAGCTTGTCGCGATCGCCCACTGCGTGCGTGCAGTCACCTTCCATCTGGCGCAGCAGCTCCGTCTTGATGCGCCGCACGTGCTCCTCCTCGCCGCTCTTGCGCTTGCGACACAGGCTGTCCACCTCGTCGATGAACAGCACCTGCGGGGTTGGTTCGTTCCACGCGTTCGTGTGTGTGAGACCCCTCCCGGGCACCACAAGCCGTTGTGGGGCACCGCGGTGGCCTAGATGTTACCTCCCTCGCCTGCTGTGCAATAGGTCGCGAGTTCGATCCCGGACCCTGACAACGCCTGTTGTATATTTGGAGTCTGCGTGCTCTCTCTCTCTCTCTCTCCCTGCCAATGGTGGTCGAGTGGATTTTTCTCCATGTTCTTCAAGTTTTGCCCTCCAAATTCAGGCACATGCATTGAGATGCATTTGGCTGCTGCTATAAGTTATCACGTTTGATTATGGTAAAGCCACTTTGATGAGCTATCATGTATGGCCAGGTCGCCTCTGAAAAAGCACTAATAGCTCAATGGGCTTTTACCCGGTAAATTAAATAGTTACATTCACCAGAATGTTAACGCATTTTTCTCATCGGTTTCCTGCTTTGAATCGCGAAGCGGAATGCTGGGAACCGTACAGACATTGTGAGCGTGACGAGTGCACGAGGTGTGATGCACTCACACATTTCATCTGCTGGCTCCTGGCTTGTTGAAATAGCGCCTTGATCATCCTGGGTGAAACAAGAATCGCGTGCATTTTTTTTTTCATTGCAAGACAATGAAAATAACATTTTAATTGAATGTTGAAGACTACAAAATAACTGCAACAAACTGAACAGATTTGTATTTTTGGCTTTTAACAACGCTCGTAATGCTACAACTTATACTGTTTTCAATTTGGATGATACATTTATTATGGTCAAAGTACAGTGAAACCTTGGATTGCGAGCATAATTCGTTCCGGAAACGTGTTTGAAATCCAAAGCACTCGTATATCAAAGCACTCGTATATCAGTTGTGATCACGTGACGCTCGGCAGACAAAGCGTATACGTACTACTTGTATTGCAAGACCTCGCTCGTTTATCAAGTTAATATTTATTTAAAATGTTTGCTCGTCTTTCCAAGGTGTTTACTGTAATAATTATTATTTTTACTCATAACGCAAACAGTATTCCACTCACCCTCGAAGTAAAAGAAGGATTCAGAGGCAAGAGGAGGAACCACAAATAAGCAGGAAGGTGGCCACATGATTGCCGGGGGTCAACAATTGCCCAAGCTCTGCCGTCCTCTATCTACTAACGTGTCATCGCCCAATTCACGAGCGTTCACATGGGAGGAAACCAAAGCGCCCGGAAAAAAACCCACACACGCGATGGGAAAACACTCCATCCCACAAGGACTGTACAGCATAGCTGTGAACCCATACAGCTTACCCCGTATTCTTGTACAGGGACATTTAGTTTTCAGGTCCATACGGCGTACAGTCGTTTCAATATGGGCAAACAAAAAATTGTCTCTTTGTTTGTGCTTTTCCCTTGTGATGGGACTTTGTAGGATGAACGTTGAGATTTATAAGGGCACGGGGTGACCAATAAGGTCTGAATTGTTTTTTAATAAGGTAGAGAACTCATAAGGGGTATGGTGCAGGTGTACGGCAACCACCCAGACGCCCACGGCAAGGGAATTTGACAACATCTGTGCGATCCACCAACCCATCGTCTCCACAGTGCTGAATTAGAGGCGTGCGCCACCACCGCTCGTTAAAAAAAAAAGCGATCAATAATCATAGCAACGTAATGCTTACTCTACAATGGCAACTAAAGTGATAGTACCCAGCTATTGATCTGGGTAGCAGTGGGGGGGAGGGGGGGTGGCTGGGTGGCAGGGGGGGGGGGTGGCTGGGTGGCGGGGGGTGTGGCTGAGTGGCGGGGGGGGGGTGGCTGGGTGGTGAGGAGGGGTGGCTGGGTGGCAGGGGGGGTAGCTGGGTGGCTGGGTGGCAGGGGGGGTGGCTGGGTGGTGAGGGGGGGGCTGGGTGGCGGGGGGGGGTGGCTGGGTGGTGGGGGGGGGCTGGGTGGCGGGTGGCAGGGGGGGAGGTGGCTGGGTGGCGGGGGGTGTGGCTGAGTGGCAGGGGGGGGGGCGGTGGCAGGGGGTGGCTGGGCGGCAGGGGGGGTGGCTGAGTGGCAGGGGGAGGTGGGCTGGGTGGCAGGGGGTGCTGGGTGGCTCAAAGGTTAAAGCTCTGAGCTGGTACAGCTGAGATCCTGCGTTCAAATCTGGACAGGCTCCCAACAATTAAAACTGGGTCCTAAAAACGTACGTCGTGGTCTCAGCCCGGCCACCACGGTGAGGCACAACAAAGCCTTCCACAAAATTCGTTTTTTTACCCCTCACATAATTTTAATCTTTTGTAAGCGTGATTTGATTTTCCAATGCATCGCAAAGTAACAAAAAAAATCGGATATCAGCAAATCGTTCGATGCATCATTACACCCATAACATCAACCCGCAGGGCGACATATTGTTGAAAACCCAGTGGCGCAGAACTTACTTTTCCGTTTCACCAAACAAGCTGGAGACGAGGTCTGAGCTGGAGACGGAGTAAAACTTCGACTTAATCTCCACGGCAACAGCGAGGGCAAGACACGTCTTCCCTAGAGGGCACAGCACATAAGGGAGCCAACATCGTTACGTGGCCAGCCCGAAACAATTGCCCGGCGTGTCAGTAACACCACCAGTGTGTGGGAGGCATTACCACGGGCCGGATGTGAGCCGCGACTTTATTTCACGCGTCCCACCGCCGCTTCTAATCACCCTGCGAGTGATTTGTATCCGTCGCCACCGCTAGCATCTTAGCCACGCCAATCGGTTACAGGAGGGGGAATATTGCTGAGCTGGCAACTCTGTGATGCTAATTTTAGCACACTCAATAGCTTGCCTTCGTAAGGGCCTCTTGCAGTGATAGGTGACGAAAGTGTTGGTTCATGTGTGACCCACCAAAGTTATTTGAGGGTCTAATTCAGCTCCCAGGAAGAAAGGGGTTCTCCACCCCACCTGGTATTTAGGAAAAGTTCAGTATTTAACGGTGTAAGCTCATTCACGAATTCACCAATTATCGTGTTACGTCTTCTCAAAGGAATCACATGAAAATGGAAGAAAGAGAGACCGAAGGAGCTAATGTATAAATGGTTCAACCTTGGTTGGAAAAAATACGTATAAAAAATTCTAAACATATTTTGTGCACAATTCCCAAATGCTCTGATTAGAGCCATTTGATAAGAAATGGTACAATTGGTCTCCTGACACATGCGAATAACTTCTAAAAGGCACGGCTTTGCGTAGAACAAATAATACATTAATTGTAGACAAACCTGTCCCAGGAGGACCATAAAGTAAAATGCATCTCCAAGGTTTCAGACCGTCTGAAATGCAAAGGAAAGATGAAAGTAGACATTAGGATGGGGCTTTAAAGGTCACCACTTGCGACGCAAAACTGTTCTTAGCATATATCACGCGAGCACTGTAGAGTAGTTGGTCTATCTGTAGGTCGTGTATGTTTCATGTGGAAGGTTGGAACCTCATCGGTGCACATTTTTGTGTACGCTGTACATGAGTACGTTTCCGACTTGTATGTCTACGAGTCCTTAAGCCTTTATGGAACATGGTTCTTTTTCTTCCTCTTCTTCGTATGGCTAATGTTGATGTAGAAGAGCGGTGGGCAACCTGCGTCCTGTGGAGCCACCCCCTGGTGGTGGCCTGGTCTACAGGGCAGCGGTGGCCAACCGGCGTCTCCCGAGCCGCACGCGGTGGCTCTTTAATCCACCACACGCGGCTCTATCGAAAGGGGCACAACGTGGAACGCGCTACTATCACGGTAGCAAAGAATAATGAAAGTCTCCCGTGCTGTGCCGAAAACTGTCAATATGTACACACACCTACATACGTACACTCGGCACTTTGCAGAACTCACGGGTACTTTTTGGATCTTGCTCTGTTACAGGTTGGCCACCCCCGTTCTACGGCGATGCGTGGGGGCGTCATGGTCATCGTGCACAGGCACGATGCCGCCGAGCTTACAGCCCACTGGGGCAACGGAGGGTCGCTCGTGTGGCCCGCCGAATACAGTCGGGGGTTGCCCACCGCTGACATGGAGCAACAACGCGAACCTCGCATGGAGCTGGCCAGCGCGAGCGGAGCGGTGTATCGTCGCGCGATGCATCCTTTGTATTTGTGCACCGCGTGCGTCATAATTTAACGTTGACATTTTCACCGTCTGGATGTAGTTTGTCTTCAGGATAGAAATCCACAGCTTAATTGCCTGACGTTTGAAAGCAGAATTTCATTCCTCTACCATTTCCCCACATTTTTTTCATTTTTTAGTCTGGTTCAGCAATAATAAATGCCATACATGCCTGTTACACACTCATTGTAATTATTACTAAAACATTGTCAAGATAACTTTGCAGTCATAAAACGTATCTTCCTTTTATTTCCCAAAAAAAACCCCCATCAGTTCACCGACCTAATCTGCTGGGTTTTTTTCCTCCAAAAGAGATAAAGGCACATTTAACTTAAAGTAAAATCTATCCAATTCAGATTTGCACATACCGTACACGTTCACTGCTAGGTTGGGAGCATACTCCACACCGTGTGGGTCACAGAGGTTATATGACCATACTTCACCACGCTGGTCAGCGCAGGGTCGGGGCAGGCAGGGAGCTGTAGACATTGCAGCTCCGCAGTACAGGAATGTATTTCACTGCCCTCTGCTGCCTTACTTTGGAGCACTGCAGCCCTATCCCTTTATCATGCATTGTACCGCATTGCCGATTATTCCACACGTAATATATTCTCATTATGTTTGCGAGCCTGTAAAAAAATCGATTCACACAGTGCTTCTGAAAAACGTATTGTTAAATAAAATCCTGACCTTTAAAGAAATGTGGGTAAAGATCGGGGAAAGTGATGGCTTCCCGTAGGATCTGTTTGGCTTCGTTTAGCCCCGAAATGTCTCCGAAGGAGATGGTCTTCTGCTGTATGGCCATGCCTTCGATAGCTTGCCGCCTGGAATCAGCGTCTAGACAGAACAAGCGCCCTTAGTCCATGGGCGTCGAGCAGCAATTTGATACCAAAGGCAGCAAAGCTATCTTCCTTTTATTTCACAAAAATAAAAAAACATCAGTTCATCGACCGAATCTTCTACCTTAGGTGCGAATACGAGTTAATTAGTGGACAACCCACTCACTTAAAAATTGTTATCACATAAATTTCAAATGTTATTGGCCGCATAAAGAATAAGATTGCAACCACTATATATGTGCAACCTCAGGTGGTACTGACAGGTGAAATAGTCGGTCTGGCAGTCCTGGTGGAAGTACCACATGTCTATGGCAGGGAAAATCAGTCGGTGTCTCACAAATACGCCCACCTGTTGTAAGGTCATGTACAGTTCCAGACTTGTTTAACTTTATTTATGAATCCAGTTCTTCTAAATAAGTCAACAGCAATCAATGGCAATACGTACAACTGATGCAGAATTTTTTTTTAAACACGTCATTGCCCAAAGTGCATGTTTTTGTAAAGAAAATAGTACCTGCACTTGGCTGCTTTGAGATGTTTTGCTTGGCGCACGGCTTACTTTTGCCGAGATTTTCTTTCTTCACTGACAAAATAGTGAGAATGTGTTTCAAGAATTGTTTCAAAACAACCAGGGAGGTCTGAAAAGGACAAATAAAATAAAGTGGCACGGTATTAATGTTTCACGTTAAATGCTTCATACGGTGCTTTTAAATTCTAATTCAATACAGGATTACTGAAGGTGAGAGAAATACGGATTGACATTTTGTTCAATGCTGGTGTCAATCCTGCTGCGACAACAACATAAAAAGCCCTACTCAATGCGAAATGTTCATGGAACTGAAAAAGGTTGATTGCCGATTCAAATTAGCACTTGCCGAAGCCTCGTCACTTCTGTGTGTGGTTACTGCGTGGATGGAGCTTAATGGGTCTATTCAAACCTTCTGGAGCAGGTGATGGGCAACATGTCCACAGTGTGCCGTATACTCACCTACTGGTTAATCCGGACATAAGTGAGGATGTGGGATTCAATCATTCATTACCTCCACTTGAATAATACGTCCAGTGCTTGCCAGGGAAAATAAAATGTTACCCAAAGCGAACATCATTTTTAGTTTAGGGACGGAGCCTCATCCGAATGACTTACGTGCCTCTGATTAAAAGTCCCTGGTTTAAAATTGCCGTATTTTACAAGAGCAGTATCGGATGAAAATTGTCTGCCGATAGCCTAATGTAATATTCGCCTGCCATTTCGAGGAGCAATTTATAAAGATATACGGCTTGAAATATTAAAACAGCCATGCAGGCTTCAACCACAGCTTGTGCCTAAACCACTGAAAAAATACTGCCGCGCAGAAGCGTTGCAACAGAGGTGTCAAGGTCAATTTGATAACCGCCCCCTGTGTTCTCGGTCACGGCCAGAAGACCAAGACACGATGGGCATGGATTACAATAATAACATGACACCGGTGACAGCATTCAAACAAAACACTCCTCTCGGCTTGCACTGAAGCTCAGGGTAGAACGCAGCAGCGTCAATCAAAATCTGCATCAGACACCTTGGTCTCGAACTGTTACAGCCTCACGTCGGCTCTCTGCTGTCGCCCCCTCGGTGTGGAACTCTCTACTCCTTTGCACGAACGCAACATCAAATGCACACTTTGACTTTCAAGCAACACCTGATGGCCTCTATCTGTCTCTGTGTGAAAATGTGTGTGTGTGTTTTTTAAACCATGTTTTAAACATTCTCAATGGAGTGGCTTGTGTTCAATCACTGGAGGGCAGCGGGTTCACGCTATTTGTAAATCTGTAAATAATGCAAAAAAAAACCACGGTGTACTCACTCTGCGTCCTGGAGAATGATCAGCCTCTATCAGGTTGTCAACCAGCTCAATCCCGACTTTACATCTGGTCAGCATCATGTGCCTGCTCGGAGTTGGTTTGTTGCATTCCTCCACCACCAAAGCCATTCTATGATATGTCGTTGGGCGTCGTGTGGCACAATTCGTGTTAAGGACTTGTTCTTCGTGTTATAACGAAACACGCGTTAAGTGCATACAGTGCCTCATGAAGTATAATGCATAAACAAAACTTCCATTGAAAATGTACACTGAAATGCAGTACTGTGCGCACAATCTGATGTACTAAGGTATTAAAACATGCCCTTACTCGGAAGAGACTGGCCAATTGAGTTTCTATTCAGCCTGCTTCAGATACTCATCAGATGGGCTAATTCTCAACTAAAGAGCTCATAGTCCATACACACGAGAGTCCAGTATTGTTTAATGTTGTTTCCAGGTTACCACGTTCACAACATATATGCAATGGAAATGTTAATAATTGCTTGCATATGGTATTTTAATTTAGGTTTCTAATTAAGCGGCTCTGAATTAATAACAATTGCAATTTTGATTTAAAGCTTTCGTGACTGCAGTAATTCATATTCTTAGTTTTTTCGGTAAAGTCACGTTGAAGAGAAACAACAAAATAACAAAATATATATAAAACAATAAAAAATTCTCACGACGTTTCGACCATAACTCAAACGGTCATCATCAGGTGTGATGACCGTTTGAGTTATGGTCGAAACGTCGTGAGAATTTTTTTATTGTTTTATATATATTTTGTTATTTTGTTGTTTCTCTTCAACGTGACTTTACCGAAAAAACTAAGAATAACAATTGCAATGTTCATAAAATTTGCGAATGTGCGTTTAACTTACAGTAAGTCGACATCTGTTAGGAAAACAACATGAACACAGGTTTTAGTTACACAAAGTCAGAATGCAGTATTGTAACCTCAGATCTTTTGTAAAAAAAATAAGATACATATACAGTAGTACAGTACAACATGACGGCCGCCATTTTTTAACAGTGGAATATGCTGCATAAAATTTATAAAAAAATATATATTATGCTGAGTGCTACTGCTGCCGTGTCCTGTACAGCGCTTTGAGATCATTGATTAAAAGCTATATATACATGTCATTATTATATGTCTTATAAATGACATCAACGCGTATTATTACACTTCACAAACTGCGTTTTTTTTAAAGTGAAACTTCAACACTCTGAACCACTCATTCATTACAATCCTACCTCGATATTTTTCCCGAAGCGTGCAGTCGGGGTTCATCGGCAGCTCCGCCATGTGGCTCACTCAGAAGTCGGAATGTCTGGCTCACTGAGAAGCCGGAATGTCCGGCTCACTCAGAGGCAGGAATGTCTGGCTCACTCAGAAGTCGGAATGTCTGGCTCACTCAGAGGCAGGAATGTCTGGCTCACTCAGAGGCAGGAATGTCTGGCTCACTCAGAAGCCGGAATGTCTGGCTCACTGAGAAGCCGGAATATCTGGCTCACTCAGAGGCAGGAATGTCTGGCTCACTCAGAGGCAGGAATGTCTGGCTCACTGAGAGGCAGGAATGTCTGGCTCACTGAGAGGCAGGAATGTCTGGCTCACTCAGAGGCCGGAATGTCTGGCTCACTCAGAAGTCGGAATGTCTGGCTCACTCAGAGGCCGGAATGTCTGGCTCACTCAGAGGCAGGAATGTCTGGCTCACTCAGAAGTCGGAATGTCTGGCTCACTGAGAAGCCGGAATGTCTGGCTCACTCAGAGGCAGGAATGTCTGGCTCACTCAGGCCGGAATGTCTGGCTCACTCAGAAGCCGGAATGTCTGGCTCACTCAGAAGCCGGAATGTCTGGCTCACTGAGAGGCAGGAATGTCTGGCTCACTCAGAAGTCGGAATGTCTGGCTCACTCAGGCCGGAATGTCTGGCTCACTCAGAAGCCGGAATGTCTGGCTCACTCAGAGGCAGGAATGTCTGGCTCACTCAGAGGCAGGAATGTCTGGCTCACTCAGAGGCAGGGATGTCTGGCTCACTCAGAGGCAGGAATGTCTGGCTCACTCAGGCCGGAATGTCTGGCTCACTCAGAAGCCGGAATGTCTGGCTCACTGAGAGACAGGAATGTCTGGCTCACTGAGAGGCAGGAATGTCTGGCTCACTCAGAAGTCGGAATGTCTGGCTCACTCAGAAGCCGGAATGTCTGGCTCACTCAGAGGCAGGAATGTCTGGCTCACTCAGAAGTCGGAATGTCTGGCTCACTGAGAGGCCGGAATGTCTGGCTCACTCAGAAGTCGGAATGTCTGGCTCACTCAGAGGCAGGAATGTCTGGCTCACTCAGAAGTCGGAATGTCTGGCTCACTGAGAGGCAGGAATGTCTGGCTCACTCAGAGGCAGGAATGTCTGGCTCACTCAGAGGCAGGAATGTCTGACTCACTCAGAGGCAGGAATGTCTGACTCACTCAGAGGCAGGAATGTCTGGCTCACTCAGAGGCAGGAATGTCTGACTCACTCAGAGGCAGGAATGTCTGGCTCACTCAGAGGCAGAAATGTCTGGCTCACTCAGAGGCAGGAATGTCTGGCTCACTCAGAGGCAGGAATGTCTGGCTCACTCACAGGCAGGAATGTCTGGCTCACTCAGAAACCGGAATGTCTGGCTCACTGAGAAGCCGGAATGTCTGGCTCACTCAGAGGCCGGAATGTCTGGCTCACTCAGAAACCGGAATGTCTGGCTCACTCAGAGGCCGGAATGTCTGGCTCACTCAGAGGCAGGAATGTCTGGCTCACTCAGAAACCGTGACCGTGTAGGCGTGGCTCAGGCCGTGACGTCGCCCCAACGTCGCCTCAACGTCGCCAGAACGTCGCGGCGTCAATCCGCCGCTCCCACCCCCTACCGAATAATAAAAATAAAAGTGAGCGCCGCGCGATTCCGTCCGGGCTGCAAACCAGCGCCCGCAAAAACTTTGTTCCGGGCATAAGTTCCACCCTGCCAACTCGGCTAAAGTTCGCGCGAAAGGCGTCGCTCGCTCGCTCGCTATCGCCGGTGACCCCCCACCCGTCCCTCGCTCCTCAAGCCCCTTATCTCTCTCGGCGATGCTCTTAGCTCGGGGGGTCTCCGTGCCGGCAAGCGCGGGGTGGACTCGCCTTCACGCTGCACGCATGGCGACAGCGGCGGCGGCGGCGTCTCCGGGCAAGGAGAGCGGCGGTGGTGGTGGTGGGAGACTCGCGGGCAAAGTGGCGATTGTGACTGCGTCGACAGACGGGTGCGTGTGTCCGTGTGTCTACATGTGTGTGATGTGTGTGTGTTTTTGTCTACATGTGTGTGATGTGCGTGTGTCCGTGTGTGTGTCTACATGTGTGTGATGTGTGTGTGTCCGTGTGTGTGTCTACATGTGTGTGATGTGTGTGTCTATATTAGTGTGTCCGTGTGTCTACATGTGTGTGATGTGCGTGTGTCTTTGTCTACATGTGTGTGATGTGTGTGTCTATATTAGTCAGTGTGTCTGTGTGTGTGTCTACCTGTGTGTGATGTGTGTGTCTATATTAGTCAGTGTGTCTGTGTGTGTGTCTACCTGTAAGTGATGTGTGTGTGTCTTTGTCTACATGTGTGTGATGTGCGTGTGTCCGTGTGTCTACATGTGTGTGATGTGCGTGTGTCCGTGTGTCTACATGTGTGTGATGTGCGTGTGTCTTTGTCTATATGTGTGTGATGTGTGTCTTTATTAGTCAGTGTGTCTGTGTGTGTGTCTACCTGTATGTGATGTGTGTGTCTATATTAGTCAGTGTTTCCGTGTGTGTGTCTACCTGTGTGTGATGTGTGTGTCTATATTAGTCTGTGTGTCTGTGTGTGTGTGTCTACCTGTGTGTGATGTGTGTCTATATTAGTCTGTGTCCGTGTGTGTGTCTACATGTGTGTGATGTGTGTGTCTGTGTTAGTCTGTATGTCCGTGTGTGTGTCTATATTAGTCAGTGTGTCTGTGTGTGTGTCTACCTGTGTGTGATGTGTGTGTCTATATTAGCCAGTGTGTCTGTGTGTGTGTCTACCTGTGTGTGATGTGTGTGTCTATATTAGTCAGTGTGTCTGTGTGTGTGTCTACCTGTGTGTGATGTGTGTGTCTATATTAGTCAGTGTGTCTGTGTGTATGTCTACCTGTGTGTGATGTGTGTGTCTATATTAGTCAGTGTGTCTGTGTGTGTGTCTACTTGTATGTGATGTGTGTGTCTATATTAGTCGGTGTGTCTGTGTGTATGTCTACCTGTGTGTGATGTGTGTGTCTATATTAGTCTGTGTCCGTGTGTGGACGGGTCCGAGAGGCTGGTAACCCCTCCGCCTTAAAAAATGTAGTCACTAAACCACGACTGAAATATGTGCACAGTAGGGGGCACAGGTGGTGCATCAGCCAGTCGTCTCAGTCATCTCAGTCAGTCGACCCGTGGCACCTGGGTCTGCCCCGTGACCTTCTGCCAGCGGGCGTTCGACACTTCACGTGGCCTCAAGGTGCACATGGCCTGGCACAAGCGTCGTGGAGACGTCACCGCCACTTAGTGGTGAATGGCGGTTGTTGTTTTTGTGATGTGTGTGTCTATATTAGTCGGTGTGTCCGTGTGTGTGTGTCTGTCTGTGTGTGATGTGTGTCTATGTTAGTCTGTGTGTCCGTGTGTGTGTGTCTACATGTGTGTGATGTATGTGTCTATGTTAGTCAGTGTGTCCGTGTGTGTGTCTGTCTGTGTGTGATCTCTATTTAACTCCATCAAAAAAGTAACCTGCAGCGCCACACCTATTACCATCATTAGGGGAAAAAACGGTGATCCAATCGCCGACCCCCAGGAACAGGTTTGCAGATTTGCTGAGCATTTCTGTGAGGTCCTGGGGGAGGGAAAATCCCACAGCCAGGAAAACATCGTGGCACAAAGTGAGGATGACCCTGCTGAGGCTGCGGTGCCTCAAATATTGGAGGAAGTCACCCCCTGTGAGTGGCTGCCTGAAGTACCATCTGTTGAGGAAGTACTGAAGGCGATCCGGAGTGTGAGACCAGGAAAGGCAGCGGGCAGAGATGATCTCCCAAGCGAAATGCTGAGGGAGGGTGGCGTTTGTGCACAGACTGCCCTATATGACATCATAACAACAGTCTGGACCACTGGACGGGTTCTGCAGGATTGGAAGGATGTCCAGGTGGTCCCCCTCTTTAAGAAGGGGGACCGCACAGACTGTAACAACATCTCACTCCTCAGTGTGCCGGGAAAGGTCCTGGCAAGGATTATTCAACATTGCTTTGCCAGGCACGCTGAGGAGAGGCTTGCGGAGCCCCAATGCGGTTTCAGGAAAGGGCGGTCCTGCACAGATGCCATATTTTCTGTCCGTCTGCTACAGCAGAGGCGTAGGGAATTCCAACAAGGCCTACATCTCTGCTTTATTGACCTGGTCAAGGCCTATGATACCATCAGTAGGCCTGGGCTCTGGGTTGTTCTTCGTGCTTTTGGAGTCCCTGACCCTCTGCTCACGATCATTAAGGATCTTCATGATGGTGAGCGGGCCCGGGTAAAACTACGTGGCCGGGAGTCAGAGCCATTCCCTGTACACCTTGGGGTGCGGCAGGGATGTCCTCTGGCTCCCACATTATTTAACATCTATTTTGACCACGTAGTTTGTGAAGCCTTCAATAGCTGTACCGGGGGAATCAACATTTGGTACAGATATAATGGGAGGCTGATCGATGCCCGGGTGTGGTCAAGGGTTGGCTCCCTATTGCTCAACCACGTTATGTATGCCGATGATTTGGTAATAGCTGCTCATTCAGAGGAGGAGTTGGAGACGCTGCTGTTGAGACTGGAGCGTGCCACTAAGAGGTGGGGCCTTACCATCAGCCCCACCAAAACTAAGCACCTGCCTTGGTATTTTGTACCATCAGACACTCCACCCCCACAACTCCCAATCGGTGATGGGGCAGTTGTGGAGCGAGTGGAGAGTTTCCCATACCTGGGCAGTGTGCTTATGACCGTCTCCAGTTTAACAGCAGAGGTCTCACTCTGAATCAGTCGAGCGGCAATATCTTTTCATCGGTTGCATAACGCTGTGTGGAAGCTACCTGGTCTGTCGCTCCGCACTAAGCTTCAGGTCTTCTCGGCCACGGTCATTCCCTCCCTTCTCTACGCTTGCGAAACGTGGAACCCCTTAATGGAGCATCTTCGCCGGTGGGAAACATTTAGGCTGGCCTGCCTACGATCCATCCTGGGTTTGACCAGGCTGGATTGTGTGAGGAGCTCCCAAATCCTTGAAAGATCTGGGCAAGGTCCCATCGGTGAGCTCCTCTGGCAGGCAAGGCTGCGTTGGCTGGGTCATGTAGCCCGCATGCCCAGCCACCGCATGCCGAAACAGCTTCTGTTCGGCCGGATCGAGGGGGCTAAACGGGCGCGGCACGGGCTAGAGAAGAGATGGAGTGATGTGGTACAGGAGGACGTGGAGCCGAGTGGACTTGCCGATGACTGGTACCAGTGGTGTCAAGATCGGCCTCTGTGGAGGAGGCTCGTGAAGGACGCTATTGGGCAGTTGGAGGCAGTCGCCCTCCAACAACAACGGAGGGCGGAGGAGCGACGCTCACAACAACGAGCGGAGCGCCGGGTGGCTAAAGCACAGCAGGTTGGCACAGTAGGGGGCACAGGTGGTGCACCAGCCAGTCATCTCAGTCAGTCGACCCATGGCACCTGGGTCTGCCCCGTGACGTCCTGCCCGCGGGTGTTCGACACTTCACGTGGCCTCAAGGTGCACATGGCCTGGCACAAGCGTCGTGGTGACGTCACCGCCACTTAGTGGCTAATGGCGGTTGTTGTTGATGTGTGTGTCTATGTTAGTCTGTGTGTCCGTGTGTGTGTCTACATGTGTGTGATGTGTGTCTATGTTAGTCAGTGTGTCCGTGTGTGTGTCTACCTGTGTGTGATGTGTCTATATTAGTCTGTGTGTCCGTGTGTGTGTCTACCTGTGTGTGATGTGTGTGTCTATATTAGTCTGTGTGTCCGTGTGTGTGTCTACCTGTGTGTGATGTGTGTGTCTATGTTAGTCTGTGTGTCCGTGTGTGTGTCTGTCTGTGTGTAATGTGTGTGTCTATATTAGTCAGTGTGTCCGTGTGTGTCTGTCTGTCTTGTGGGAGTGGTGGTGTAGCGGTTAGCGCGCTGCGCTACGAACCCGGCCACCCGAGTTCGATTCCCGCTCACGGCCAACACCTGTGACAATTATCTGAACTGGTCCTGGGTCTCCTCTAGGTCGACTCAGCCTCAAATGAGTACCTGGTGTGGTGTTTAAACATCGCCACTGGGGAGATAAAGGCAGCCGGGCGTGGTGCTGGCCACCCACCCCCTCGTGTGCCGTGCCGGCTATATGGGGGGTCTTTGTCTTTGCTTGTCCATCTGTGTCTGTCTGATTGTCTCTGTCTGTGTGCCTGTTTATCTGTTCATTTTGTGATGTTAACTTTCGCTTTGCAAACTCAAAATAAACTGACATTTATAACAACTGCGTACTGAACGTTCGTGCGGGGCTCGGATGTTCAGCCATCGGTGGAAATTCCACGTTACCATGACGGACGCAAGTGTGCTCTTGCGTAAGGATGTATTCAGGAGTTCAGTCTACAAGGACACGACTGCTGGTTTCCCACAAAGTGGGTACTTGTACTCGTTTACCGACCACAGAGGGATGATGGTTGATGATAGCCAGAGCATAGAACGACCGCTGTTGAATGTCGACCCCCACTGCGGTGGGGGCTGTCGTTTCAACAGAGGGTGCGAGTGGTGGTGCAGTGATTTTTCTATCGTAACGCGCCATGAACCCGGCCCAGCAGAGTTTTGTTCCCGACCCCGGCTCACATCAGTGGCGAGTGATTTGACCCCGAGCCTCGGCCGTGTTCTCCCTTCAATCCGCACCGACCAGCGTGGTGAAGTATGGTCAAACAAATCCTCGCCCCCATGACGCTGCATGGCGGAGGCCTTCATCTAGCAGTGGATTGAGAAAAGGACCGTGGATTATTAATTGTCATTATCATTTACCAGACGTTGCACGTGCTGCGTTTGCAGTGGTGCAAAAGCACAATACACAACAAATCAAACTCAACAGAATATAATAAGGGCCATCGCCTGACACGTCGCCGATTATATATTTGTTTCTTTTAAGGCCACAGCGTTGTCGACGAGTTTGTTGAGTCTTTTTTTTGCTAATGGAGCGTTTTTAAAGTAAAGTATAGTAGTTATCCGTTTGTTGTGTCTTCCGTTTAAACATCGATGCGGTGTTGCAATAACCACCCAACCGCGGACATGGAGCGATGGAATCAGCTGGTGTGCAGGTGTTATGTGGATTGTCACATCGTAGCAGTGGATTGATCATGGCCGACGACGATGATGATGAAGTACGGCTGGGTGTAGCTGTGGTTAAACCTATGCGCTCAAAGTGCAAAGGTTGAGAGTTCTAATCTGGGATATGCTGGGGGTTGGGTCGAGCCCGTTATCATCTTCATCTCTCCAAGGTCATTATAATGAAAGCAAACTTTGGTTCAGCAGTGATTGTCCTGCACAGACACTCAAGTCCACCATGGCATTGTGAGGTGTCCACCACTGGGTCAGTGCCACAAATGGCGATGAGCTCCCTCTCGATGGCTCATGTCATTTGCTCGGCTGTATAAAAATAACATCACTTTGCAAACGCATACTGTGAAAAAGTCAAACTTATATCCAAATCACCCGCTGTCCGCCTGATCTCGTCATATTTCAGAAGCTTAGTACGGCCCGACAGCTGTTGAACGAAGCGAACACATTTCTTCGGAGGCCTCATCAGGCGCTCCTTCAGGCACCCGGCACGTGGAGCGAAACGTCGGACAATTGCACCGAACCATGCGCGGCACAACCCGGCAAAATGCGCCGGAGGGCGTGGATTATTTATTTTATCTCTCCGGGTCCTCCGGTTTTTCCCTCCACATTTGGAAACATAGCAATCCAGGTCACTTCGATGATTTTGCTGCTGTGGATTGCCACATGATGACGAGGAGCCAACTTCGTTGAGCTATCATTTGTGAAGGCCAGGGGCGCTATATATTATTTTTTTGAAAGCGATTCGTTTGCCTTGCCTATAATTTGCACTCCTGCCGTGTTTTTTTGTTATTTGTTGAAGTAACGTTCTGACCCCGTGCCCCTACTGGACACCTGTTAAAAAAAGAGTTGTTTTTTATCGCTCATCGGATTCCTCCGGTACAAATCAATATTCTGATTCTGGACCCGCCGCCGTGGCGTTCAACAGCATCGGCTACAGCATCGCGGAGCGTCTGGGGCGCGAGGGAGCGCAGGTGATGATCAGCAGCCGCAAGGCGGACAACGTGGAGCACGCGCTGGGCCGCCTGCGCGCTCAGGGATTGCTCGTGTCCGGCACGGTGTGCCACGTCGGCAAGGCTGAGCACCGCTCACAGCTCATCGCCAAGGTGAACGCGTCCTCGGCAGGCCTTCAGAGTCACGGGGGGGGAAGAATCATTGGTGGATGAAGTCGATACATGCGTGGGCACCAACGTGAGACATTATTTTTTTTGATCCCAACTATTTTGGTGTTTTCACGTTTAGTCGAGTGAGTAATGGACCCGATAGAGTAATCGCGTTAAATTTTGGTCCCGTTCTTCGTCTGACCAAATTCCAGTTCTGAGAATTAAAAATGTAGTTTTGATTGTCGTGCGACGAGAGACGTGACTCTGTGTGGACCAGACGTCACTTGAAGAGATCTCGGAGGTAACTCTGTGATAGCCACTTCTGCAGGCTTTTCTCATATCACACATGGCTGCACTGCTCCGTGAGAGTTCCCGATTGGAATCCTTGGTCTCATGACGTGACGCCGACACCACAATCGCGGGATGGAGTTGGGGGGGGGGGAAATGACAACAACTTAAGACGAGAGGACACAAAATACACAGGCTGTGCAGTAACACACCGCTCACAGCATAAAAACAAACATTCGCATATAGGGCCCGGGTAAGTGAAAGGGTAAACCTAGTTGTCTATTAATTCCAAGGTTCACTGTCCGTACCGTAACCCAGCTCCACTGACCTCTGTGCAGCAGCAGCAGCGGCAGCAGCAAGCGCCTGGCTAATGTCACGTAAAAAGAGCAGCGCATTGTGCTGCAGTGCCATGGACGCTTTTGCATTCTGCACTGCGCATTACCGGAAGGTCATGCTTGCTATTAGAGTTCTCTCATCGAACTTGCGTTTAGTAATTCTGCACGTAATGGTGCGGGTCAAAAAAACACTTTTGTCTCTTCCGCTGCTTCTCTCGCACCGTGCGTGAACCACCAATCACGCTCACTCCCGGTCATCCTCGCAGCAGCGGGCTCTTGGCTCGGCCGTCGAACAAAGACGGTGGGCACCGCATCGCGCGCTTTCAGATGCGCTTCTGTGGCCGTCTGGAAAGCTCTTCCAATATTAGGAAGCCACTGGAGCTGTGCACTTTTAAATCTAGATTGAAAACTAATTTGTGGAGTTGTGTTTGGTTTGTTGTCCTTCCTTGCTCCTCCGACAGGCAGGGTTGGCTATATACGGTGGAATTTTTCCTACGGGACCCTTTTTTCCAGTATCAAGGTGATAAAGAGGAACATGATTTTCTCTTTCTGGCATTAATACAGGTTTTAATATTTTCAAACACCAATTAGACATTTAATACGGCCGTACTGTGCTATCCTAGTGCAGTCTTACTGTAATATGCTGTAACATTTTATGCTCCTCGTGTTCACCAACCTGCACTGGCTATCACGGTGAAGTATGGTCAAATAGGTTCCACGACCCACACGGTGTGGGAAAGCCATCATCCAGCAGTGGATTGCCAAAAGGTCCCTCCGTGCACATAAATGGAAGTGCGATTGCATTTAATTTCGTGCACGTGTGTGTGTATCGTTATCTGAACCAGTCCTGGGCCTCCCCTAGGTCGACTCGGCCTCAAATGAGTACCTGGTGCGGTGTGCAAACATTACCGCTCGGGAGACAAAGGCGGCCGGGCGTGGTGCTGGCCACCCACCCCCTCGTGTGCCACAGTGCCTGCCTTCATAGGTGCTCGCCAACAGCACTTGCCCCAACGGTCTGCTAACGCTATACGGGGGGATCGTTGTCTTTGTTTCCGGAGCAGACAATCAAAGAGTTTGGAGGGATTGACATCCTGGTCTCGAACGCTGCCGTGAATCCTTTTGCTGGAGACATTCTGGACTCGACTGAAGAAGTGTGGGATAAGGTACCGCGCTCAGCTGACAAGGATTTGAAACGCGTTCAGTTTTTTGTTGCGAAGAGAACCGTTTTTGCCCCACGTTTTCCGCGAACGCTACGAATTCGATGTCCACTCCCGCCCGCCGGCGCATAGACACTCCACGTGTTTTCACAGTCACTACGGAAAATCTGTGATTCGATTGCTACGTTCGTGTGTATGTCGAACTGTCTTCGTACTGTACATAGCCGACCGTGCTAATCAGGAGTGCGGTTTTGTGGGGCATTGCCCAGAACGGTGCAGTTTTGTGGGGCAAGATTTGCGATGAAACACACTTAACGCCACTTATCCGACCATCACATATCCACCCTAACCAATTAACCGCTCGCACACAGTGCAGTATTTGTGCTCGTTCTGCCATGTTCTATGGATATTTACAAATCATGGCCTTTTCACCTATTCCTCCGTTTATTCCCCGGTGCGTCAGATTAGCACGGTTGGTTACGTACGGCGCGAAAGAAGTTCAACATGCACACACGCGACGTACTGTTCCTACGAAAATATTTCAATTTGTATCCATCTATAAAATGTACTATTATGCTGCTAACAGAGCTATGTGTGCTGGGGGGGGGGGATGGGCGTGGGACAGAGGTGGTGGGGGTGTTGGGGTGGGAGTTGTGTCGGTGAGGCGTTGAGACAGATCGGTGGGAAGAGACGGGGGGCAGGGGGAGTCGAGCGTTAACTGCCGACACATTTGTGCTGTCGGACTCGTTTGCAGATCCTGGACATAAATGTCAAGTGCATGTTTATGATAACCAAGGAGGTCGTCCCACACATGAAGACCAGAGGGTGAGATGTTCGTGGCGTGCACCGGTGCGTCGTCTTCGCTCGCGACGGCCGCCACCGCCACCACGCGGTGTGCTTTGCGAACAGACGCGAAAGCGCGGCCGCGTAAACTGTCGCCCTCGAGTACACCGCTGCCCACGCGTTCCTGCTTAACGATTGACTTCTCCTCTCCTGTGTTCGACAGCGGAGGCTCCGTCGTGCTCGTGGCCTCCATCGCGGGCTACCAGCCGTTCAGCGTAAGGCTGCTCCCCGCACGTTCACGGGAGTTGTCCCGGTGATGCCAGCACAGGGGCGAGGACACGCATCCACTGCACAAACCGTGGCAGCAAATGCGGGCACCTGAGGATGTACAAACAGAAAAATGTTAAACTTTGCAGTAGCAGTGTGCAACTGTGGTCGTCCAGAATGGAGACCGTACAACGTAGAGCGACGCAGAGCGAAGGAGACATCGCCGCGATTATACACTCCGCTGCTCCTGACGCGGTTATTTGGGCTTGACCACGTGAATGTCAAAATTGTAGCCATCGCTCTGCATCCACATCAGCAGCCCGTACGAAAGAAGAAGGGACGAGAACACGCCCCTGCCTGACCCCGTTGGCGATCGGACAGAAATCTGATGCTCCATCGACAGATCTCATGCGTCGCACGACGCTCTCGTGAAACTGTCTGATAATTATAGCGGTCAGGGGAGGTGAGCCACCCGAACCTATGAACCCAGAAGCCTGAGTTTGATTGTCGGCCGTGGCTAACATCGGTGACGAGTGATATTTAAACCGGACCCAAGTTCTCCCCGTGCCCCCCTGCCCCCCCACCTTCAAACCTGCACTGACCCCATGACTGACACGGCACGGGGAGGCCTTCACCCATCAGTGGGTTGAGGAAGAGATGAAGATATGTAATTAATAAAAAATAACGTGTGCATGTATATATATACTGCGCTCAGTTGTAAGAGCACTCGCCAAACCGGCGTTAAGTTTTCCGTGGTCTCCGCACAAAGTTGCGGGAGGCCGTACGGAGCCATTCGTCTTATGCAGCCGGCAGCGCAATCTGAGTTTCAGACAGCGGAAGGGCAGCTTAATGTTTAATGCACGTTTAAGGACAGACCTGTTTTATTCATGCGAACCGATTTGCCAAGTCGGAGCACCTCTCTCTCTCTCTCCCTCTTGTGCGAGCTGAGTGTGAAAGCCGATAACAGCCTCAAGCTGCAGCGCCACGCAGAACAGGTGTCCAGTAAAACCCACGACTCGCCCTGAAAGAGTTACTCTACAGGAGGAGGTCACTTCAAAATGGAGTAGTAGTAGGATTTCGCGACCAATATTATCCATAACAGATCGCGTGAATATCAATGCGTCGTTAAACCCGCCACCACCCGACATGGCCAATTAGTAAGGTTTGTCACGTTAACAGAACGTGCAAATTCGTTACTAGTACAGCACACCGGTTTGTTGGAGAGTAAATCCGCAACATTTACAATTTGAATACGACGTTTCGCCGGTAATGATGAAGCTGGTTGTAATTACCTGTGTGCTGTACTAGTAACGAATTAGCATGTTTTGTTTACGTGACAAGCCTTACTAATTGGCCGTGGTGGGTTTAACGATACAACATTTATATTTTCGTGATCTAACCTCCCCAAAAAAAAACCTCTCGTGGATCTACAGGAGGTGCTTAACAGTAATCGCTCATTTAACACGGTAGATGCGTTCTTGAAAAGTGTTAAGCGGAGGGATTGCTTTAGTGAATTTCACTTGCACTGTGAAATCACGCTGCAGTCTTCCTATGGTGAACAGGAAAATGCAGGGCTGCCCCTTTAGCTCTCAATATCTGTATCATCTCCGGGTGTCTCAAACGATCATTCCGCTGCCCTGGCAGGAGCTGGGCCCGTACAACGTGAGCAAGACGGCCCTGCTGGGCCTCACCAAGACTCTCGCTCCACGGCTCGCCCCCATGAACATCCGCATCAACTGCCTTGCACCGGGCATCATCAAGACGCGCTTCAGCTCGTTCGTGAGTGCCGCCGTGTGTTTCCTGTCCCCCAGCGTCGCTCCACGCGCCGTGCTCGCTCGCTCCGAACAGCCAGGGGGCGAGATACCCGCGGCCCTGCGGTGGACGTTATCCGGCCCGGGGGCTTCGTTTCGTACGACCCCACGGCCACCTTTGTGCCGTCCGTCGAACAAAGACGTCGGTCGCCGCATCTCGCGGCCGTCCGGAACAACGCTCTTCCTTTCCGATATTAGGAAGCCACTGGAGCTGTCGCACCTTTAAATCATCTGGAGTGAGGCCTGGTGCCGCTTTATGCGTCACTGCGGGCATCTTAGCTGCGCTAATGGGGGCTGGCGGCGTCGCGTTTCAAATTCTAGCATGCTCGGTCGCTTGTGTCACTGCAGCGGCAGAAGCTGCTCGAGTTGTGAGGAAAAATGTGGCCTGCCAAAGGTGTTTGAAAGTTTTATTCGTTAACTTTTGTAAAAAAAAAAAAATGACGACATTTAAATGTTTGCCGTGTCACCGCGTGCGTTCCCTTTTTCATTTTATGCAGGCAGACACATTTTTGTTTTTTTTCCAGCAGACGCTGCAGCACCGTGCGCGACGTAATTAGTTACACGCCGCCCCTGCCAGAGCAGCGGCTGAGTTGCAAACGCAGGCAGCTGAAGTGTTTTGTGTAAAGCAGCGTAACGGGGAAAAACACAAGCACGCACGCACGGGCACCGTTGTAACGTAACGCTTCAATGACACCGGGCGCCTTGCTCGCTCCACTCCCGAATTTGCTGAGTTTTTGACATTTTTCTCCCCCCCCCCCCGTCCACGCACCGTGTGGTTTCCGTAGCTCTGGGAGAACAAGGACATGCTCGGCGAGTTTGTGAAACACATACCCATGGGACGGTAAGACCCGAGCCAAATGTTGTGCTGCGTTGGCCGTCGGGGTAAAGGGGGTAAGGGCGCAGCCCTGCAACTGCTCGCTCACATCACCGCCGGTGGAAGGTGCCCCTCCACTCGAGGGAGCTCTGGAGAGCCTCTCTCGAGGGTGTTTTTTCTTTCACATTATTTACCGCCACTGGATTGCTCATTTGAGCAGTGGGGGGGACTTATGCAATTTTAACTTATTCACTGTCTCTGTTTTACATATTTATTTTTAGTGATTTTGTTTTTCGCTATGCTTTGCACTCCTATATGGTGTTTTTGTATTGTTTGTTGTTGTAAACCTTCTGACCCACCCCTACTTGGACATCTGTGAAAATGAGCTTCATAGCTCATCGGATTTCTCCAAGGGTAAATACAGATTCTCATTCCCGATATGATGACTTTTGACTCTATAATGAGCTGGCCTCCAGGGGGAATCGCCTTTATAATATGAAATGCGAATGGGCATCGCTGAAATTACTGGCCCAAGTGCCTAGAGAGCTTCCCTATGAGGATATTTTGTCCTCGTCTTCCATGCCGGCAAGTTGTCTCGAAAGAGGTGGGAGCACCAACACGTGACCCCCACCACCAACACGTGACCTGCCGACCGGCAAAGTGTGATTTGCCAGTTTTTTGCCGCTGGATGGGCAGCGCCAATCGGTGAACTTGCTCAAATCATTCCGTGTACATGTACTGTACCTCAAGAGCAATGACCATGTTTGGTCTTCCTCGGTGCACCGATGTCTCGGACGGCGTGAATCCGTTTGGTGTCGTCATGGCGTTTGCTCCACACGGGGATGATGATCTTCATCCACTCATTGCACATGCTGACTAAAATGAATGCAGCAAAAAATGCAAACGTTTGACGAATTATTTTTATATCACCAATTTCGTAAATCTCCGCTGAGGTCCACGGTTCAATTGCGGGGTTTTGGCCACGCGGATTGAACCACGTCCTCAAATGCCGCTAGTCTACGGTCTTGTGCCTCACGGTGCCACATTTTTGCTATTGTCCAATGTTCAGCCCACTGAAGTCGAGTTACTGACTGCGCAACTGCTGTAGAGAGCGATAGTGAGCTGCAGCAACACGAATGACATTCACTGCTAATGCAACTTCCCCTCTGTAATTTTCCACCGTTGCCACCCCCAGCTTGGGCTTGGACACCTGTGAACAAAAGCCTCACGGCTCAGGGTTCTTCGAGCTTTAATGTGTCTGCGTGCGGCTGTGATTAGCACGAATGGCTCTGTGACAAATCCCCCCTCAAAAACACTGCTGTAACCAGCGACCGCATCGGACCATTAACAGGCCGATGCGTGAATCTAATTTTTTTCGTGTTGAGTTTGTTGTCCTTCCCCCCCCCCACACCTCCGATTAGTACGGTTGGCTATGTACGGTGCGAAAGAAGTTCAACGTAATTTATATGCATGGAAGGTTACTGACGGAAGCCGCAGTAGTGCGACTGTGGCCATGCAATCCAAACTATTCGACCAATGTAATAAAGCCACCGTGGGCTGCCCTTCTTCAACGGAGGAGTAGGAGAACAGAAAAGCTACACTGTCTCTCTTGAAGCCCTCTCATCGTGGGCAGCAGACCTCGCATGCGATGGCGATGTTGTTCAGGAGCTAAACACTCCTGAACCACAACGCTCCTGAGCCACGTCGCCATCCTATGCGTTGGTGTACGGTGCTTTTTTCAGGAATATTTTAGCTGTTTTTTTTTCCATGGATTTTCTGTTTGCACAGTCACACACAGTCACTTTAAGATGTTTTTCTTGTTCGTGTTTTTGTTTTTTTGTTCGTTGTGGTTGCACCCGATTCAAGAGCCGAATGGCTCACAGAGCTATACCAAAATAAACTGAACTGAACTGAGTAGAGTGAATTTCGTCGACGGCGTTGACGCCGCCCCCCACTCCCCCCCCCCTCCCCTCCGGCGAGCTGGCGCGTTGACGGCGCTTGTCCTCCCCTCTGCCCGCAGCATCGGCGAGCCGGAGGAGTGCGCGGGCACCGTGGCCTTCCTCTGCTCCGAGGACTCGGCCTACATGACGGGCGAGACGCTGGTGGTGGCGGGCGGGTGCCCGTCGCGGCTCTGAGGAGCCAGCCGTGCTTTCCCGGTCGCGGCTCGGCGACCCCCCCGACCTCCGGGTACACAACCACAGCCCCCCCCCCCTGCCTCGCACTCTCCGAGTGGGGCGTTGTCCCGCACCTCCGATTCGCGCATTTGGCTACGTATGGTGCGGAAGAAGTTCAACATACGTACGCACATGTGTTCCGGATAGGCCATGTTTTTTGAGCATTTTTTCTTCTCCCTGGCTTTCGCCACGCACTACTGCGGGCATATTTTCAGGCCATGATAATGTACGTTGAACCTCGTTCGCACCGAACGTAGCCGACCGTGCTAATCCGAGGTGCGGGTGGATGGGGGCAGGACGACAAACCCAACACAAAAAGCAGTTCTAAAGAAATGAGGTTATCAATTTAGATTTAAAAGTGTATAGCTCCTTCCTCCTCTTCCTTTCTCTCCCCTCCCCGCCTTTCCCCCTGCTCCCTCCACTTTCTTTCAGATGTTAAAGTACACGCGCTATCTGCTCGCGGTCCCCACTTGTTGGGGCAGCAGCGAGCCCAGTCTGCCCCCTCCTCTAAACTCAAGAGCACTGCGTTTTGGACTTGTGTCCGTGGAGTTTCTGTACCCACCCCCCCACCCACCCACATCATAGTTTGTGATCTGTACCGGGCTCCAGTGGCTTCCTAATATCAGAAGGAAGAGAGCGCTCCAGACGGCCGCAGAAGCGCATCCAAATGCGTAGCGATGCCGGTGACCGTCTTTGTTCGATGGTTAGCCGCAAGCCGCCGTTGCCGCCGCTGCTGCTGCTGACGGTCAGCGCTTAACGTCCCGAGCAGCTTTCGCGATCAGCGACCTAGCGACTCCGCGGTGAGAATCGGCACAACGGCGCACGTTTTCATAAACCACCCCCCCCCAGCTGCCCTATCCACGCAGTAGTATAAAATGGGTTCACCACGGCCCATTGGCAGGTTATGTGCGGTGCGTCAAAGTGTGGGTACTCTCGCCTCTTCCGAGCTCTTCTCACCAGAATTTAAGAGGCTGCTTCAGGGCTCCCTCTAGTGCTGGCCTTTCTGCCAGTGGTGGTGTGAAGAAGTCATTGCAAGGGCTGCAGCTTTACCTTTAGGTATCTAAATCGTCTCCAGGCTCTTAAATTACATGCAAATTAAATCTGTAATTTCACCGCATTTATAATTGGTAATTGATAATTAAATTACACACTTCCAAACGTAATTGGTAATTTTCATCGAAATCACATGAGACACTGTTAATTGCTTGTTTTTTAAAAATCTACATTACATTACCAGAGCAATTTATAATTTTGAATGGATTTTGCCCATCTCTGCCACAGTCTTAACAGTGCCAGGCGGCCAACTTGGCCCTTCATTCCTCTGAGGTTGGCAACAGGGGCACCGCTCTGCGAGACGTCAACAGTAGTTGTGCTGTGGACAGACTTGTCCCTGCCATAGAATGGTGGAGCTTCCATTTCCGGCTCAACGTTAACGGAGTCCAGCAGTGCCGGACACTTATTTGAACTTTACGATGAACCATCCGCCACCGTGACCTATCCCCTGCTGGATGGAGGCCCCACAAAGTAATTGCCATCCTCCACGGTTCTGCAGTACAATAATTCTATACTACTAGACTATTTTTTATTTTACCGGATAAGGCCCACTGAGATGTGCAGCTCTTTTTTTTTTCAAAGTGACCTGGCTATCATAAATGATCGCTCAACGAAGTGGCTTATCGCGCGGAAATTTATAGTAGCCAAATCCTCTAAATGCACTTAGGGGGAAAAAGCGGAGGACCCGGAGAAAAATCCACGCCGCCACAGGGAGAGAGACACGCAAACTCCAAATATACAGCAGGCGTCAGAGTCGGGATCAAACCCACGACCTCCTGCACACCAGGCGGGGTAGTTAACATCTCGTCAACGCAGCGCCTGCACACGGGCTGATTTCCGTCGCTCCGTCTACCCGAGCGGATGTCCCTTGGGACGCGTTTCATCAGCTGGGGCTCACTCCGTCGTTATTCAAGACTGTCGGACCATCTCCCCCCTGAGGCTGACGCGTCCCTGCCTGAACCCGCTTGCATTTCTTTACAGTTTAAATTAAGTGATGAACCTGAGAAAAGGAGCCAAGGTGGCTAGGAGATGTTAACTCCCTCGCCTGGTATACAGGAGGTCGTGGGTTCGATCACGACCCTGACGCCTGCTGCTGTATATTTGAAATGTGCGTGTCTCTCTCATCATCATCACGGTGGCTAGGAGATGTTAACTACCTCGCCTGGTATACAGGAGGTCGTGGGTTCGATCCCGGCCCTGATGCCTGCTGCTGTGTATTTGAAGTTTGCGTGTCTCTCTCATCATCACGGTGGCTAGGAGATGTTAACTACATCGCCTGGTGTGCAGGAGGTCGTGGGTTCGATGCCGGCCCTGATGCCTGCTGCTGTATATTTGAAGTTTGCGTCTCTCTCTCTCATCATCACGGTGGCTAGGAGATGTTAACTACCTCGCCTGGTGTGCAGGAGGTTGTGGGTTCGATCCAGGCCCTGATGCTTGCTGCTGTATATTTGGAGTCTGCGTCTCTCTGAATCATCATCACGGTGTCTAGGAGATGTTAACTACCTCGCCTGGTGTGCAGGAGGTCATGAGTTCGATCACGACCCTGACGCCTGCTGCTGTATATTTGAAGTTTGCGTGTCTCTCTCTCATCATCATCACGGTGGCTAGGAGATGTTAACAACCTCGCCTGGTATACGGGAGGTCGTGGGTTCAATCCCGGCCCTGATGCCTGCTGCTGTATATTTGGAGTTTGCGTGTCTCTCTCTCTCTCTCTCATCATCACGGTGGCTAGGAGATGTTAACTACCTCGCCTGGTGTACAGGAGGTCGTGGGTTCGATCCCGACCCAGACGCTTGCTGTATATTTGAAGTTCGCGTGTCTCTCTCTCTCATCATCACGGTGGCTAGGAGATGTTAACTACCTCGCCTGGTATACAGGAGGTCGTGGGTTCGATCCCGGCCCTGATGCCTGCTGCTGTATATTTGAAGTTTGCGTGTCTCCCTCTCTCTCCCCATGGTCGCATTACATTTTCTCCGGGTCCTCCGTTTTTTCTCTCCACATTTCGAAACGTGCATTTAGAGTATTTGGCTGCTATAAATTTCCACGTGACAAGCCACTTCATTGAGCTTCATTTGTGGCCAGGTCGCTTCTAAAAAAAGAGCTATTTAGCTCAGTGGGTCTTACCAGGTAAAATAAAAAATAGTTTATAGTATTAAAATCTTTGGTTCTTTCGGTAAAGTCACGTAGGTGAAAAAATAAATAATATAAATAACTAAATAAATCACTACGTTTCGATTGCTACACAAGCAATCATCATCATCAGATGTGACAACCACAGCAAGTATTTTTTACTGAAGTGGGAGAGATACCAGGGTTAGGGCAGTTAAATAAGACAGAGAGGGGGAGGGTAGGGGGGTGGTGCAAGACTACGTACAGTGCACCTTATTCTCTCAGTGCAATTCCAGCCACGACGTGTTCTGTTCCAAGCCTACTTTAATTTTGTTAAGCGTTTGAATGTTGTCATGAACCTGCGTTTGTTCTCCAATCCGTGCGTTCCTCTTTTTGCCTCTTCATGCAATTCCAAGGGCGCATCTCTCCTTTCCTCCCTCCGCACTCCCCGGTTTTTGTTCGACTTTTAGGAGACTTGGGATTCGGATCTGAAGTTAAACTGAGAGTGAATGTGCACCTCGTGGCGCATTCACTTTTGCTCCCGAAGAGTCTAGCACTTTTTTTCCTTTAGCTACAAAATATATCACGTGTATTTTTTAATCCATAACTGTAGTGGTCATGTGGGGAGTTGCTGTTTGCATCGAGGCGCAGTAGTAACTTATTACTGTGGGCTGCTGACGCATCATTAATGAATTCTCCAGACACGGCAAACAAAAAAAATTAATGCTCTTGAATTATTAAGCATTAATTGTGCGATGTCCAATTAATATCAAATATACATCAGAAGGAAACGCTGCATTTTTAAGAGCCTCGAGCCCCAAATGGTTCTGCTGCTGGCAAAGCAGCAGCTTGCAAGGGACTGTCTCCTCGCACCCCCCCTCATCCACCTCATCCACCTCGTCTCAGCTAAGAACCTGCACAGAGCTCCCCTCGTGCCCTCCAGCGGATGTTGAAGAAGATAAAAGAGTGTCGTTCACTGGATTCGTTCGTTCGGTTTAGTTTTGTTGCTCTGCACGTGCGTTTGCCAGAGAGCCGCTGACGTTTGCCGCGGCCTCAAAGTGCACCTAGCCTGGCACCAAGCGCTTTGGTGATGTGTCCGTTGCTTCGTGGCGAATGGCGGCCGTAGTTGTCGCCACTCTGGCCGGATGAGATGCAGCGTAGGTATGTGTGCATGTGTGTATGTTGAACTCCTTTCACACCGTACGTAGCCAAACGTGCTCATCGGAGGTGCGCGGGGGAAGGACGACAAACTAAGCACGCACAAAAAACGAATTCCTCTGGACTCACGGACAACCCTCGACCCTTGGTCAATGACTTTATCCTGCGTGCGTTCTCTAATGTCTCTCAATGCAATCCCAAGTGTGCACCTCTTCACGCTTCTTTGTGCTGTTTATAGCTTTTGCGTTCCATCGTCTTGTTCATGCTGTTGGAGAATAATTAACATCGCTTTTGCGCAATGCTTCAGTTCTGCAATTCCCGAATTGTATATTGCAACGTGGGAAAAAAAACAACTGGCCTTCATTTGTATATGCCTCGCATGTTGCGATAATAAGCATCTATTGTGAGCAGAGAAAATTCACCGATTATCGTGAGGCAGTAATTGGCATGCAGATGATGAATGAATAAATAAATGAATAGGTTGCACTTTAGCGTAATGCGCCATCGATGCGAACTTAATTTACTTGAGTGGGGCAATTAGAGGGCATGGTGTGCTGATAGCAATAACAACAACAACAGGTACGGAAAACCAGTGAAATATTAAAACCAAGGAAGTTCTGCGTGAATATGGCTCTGCTGACTCGGAGGGCTTCATTTTAATGGCGGTGAGGCCCTTTGAGGTTCATTATCTCTGTGCCAAGAGGGCCTCTGGGTAACCAATTTGTGGGTAAATTTCATGCTTGGGATTTGTTCCCTGCGACATGAGTACACAGTGGCCTAGGCTCGCGAGTAATGATACAGGCTTTGTGCATCCACATCGCAGGAATCATCATCATCGTTGTCATCGTCAGCCATGATCAATCCACTGCTGGATTAAAGCTTCCCCTATTTGTCGCCATCTTTCGTGATCCCGCGACGCAACGATCCACCTAGCACCCACCACACGAGCCAATGTCATCGCTCCATTTCCTTGGGGAACATCCTTTCGAATGCGTTCCATCCCTTGGCTGCGGTGGCTAGGAGATGTTAACTACCTCGCCGTGGTATACAGGAGCTCGTGGGTTCGATCTCGACCCTGGCGCCTGCTGCTGTATATATTGAGTTTGCATGTTCTCTGGGTCCTCCAGTTTTCCCCTCCACATTTAGAATCATGCGAGTATTTGGCTGCTATTAATTTCTTCGTAATGGTAAGCCACTTCGTTGAGCTATAATTACGTGTGGCCAGGTCGCTTCTGAAAAGGGCTATATAGCTCAGTGGGCCTTACCTGGTAAAATAAAATAAAAACGTACACCATTGGAAACCTCATTTGCCAGTAACAAAATATGATAATTGTTTTTTTACCCTTTTATCTGCCAACAAAACTGACACCTTTTTTTACAAGGAGTCATGTTTACATTGACCACAATACCTGCGGTCGGAACGCAAACAAAGAATAACAACTCTGATAATGTATGCACTGTCCTTGAAATTGATTGGTCCACACCCGAAACAGCTTGGCGTCTTCTGGTCCAACACCATGTGAGACGAGGCTCTAAAGAAAGCTGTTTCGGGTGTGGACCAATCAATTTCAAGGACAGTGCATACATTATCAGAGTTGTTATTTTTTGTTTGCGTTCCGACCGCAGGTATTGTGGTCAATGTAAACATGACTCCTTGTAAAAAAAAAGGTGTCAGTTTTGTTGCCAGATAAAAGGGTAAAAAAACAATTATCAAAATAAAAACTGTTTATAGTTTGTATAGCTTAGCTGCCACTATAATATTCTTGACCATCGGCCATCATCCCTTCAAGAGTCGTGTCAAGCCTGAGTCCACTTGATCTTTTTTCCCGTTTGGATTCTGTGTTTACCCCTGCGCATGTTCTCGAATCCACGTGGTATTCTCTCTGTCTCGCTGTGACTCTGAGCATGCATCTCTACACTCGTTTTTGCACACTCTGCAGTGTTTGTTTCACATCACCATCAGCTGGTTAGGTTTGTGGTTTAAGGTCAAATGTCAGCACAGCCGAGGTGTGGTGCTCATCTTCATCGGTGGCCTTGAGTCAATGATTGACATTCTACACTCCGATGGCAGGGGCCAACCTATTTGTAGGATGACTGCTGTAGCCATCTCACAAAGTGGCGCTCATCTTTAGATTTGGACAGTGAGTCAGATCAAGGTGATTCGTTGAATAAACATCGTAACGGACTTTCTCTGTGGCTGATTACTCGGGGGCTCCTTTATAATGGTAGCCACCCCCTATATTCTGCCCCCCCCGAGGGCAGAGAAGCCTCTAAGAGCCACGACCAGCGTGACGCCGTGGATGACGATGCTGATCACGTCACCAAGCCCTGCTCATCACCTCCCGTCCAGTGGCACACGTGGCGAGACTGTTTTCCCAACTATTGTTGTGCTGTCCGATGGGTTGAGTAACCGATGGGTTGAGTAACCGATTGGTTGAGTAACCGATTGGTTGAGTATCCAATTGGTTGAGTAACCGATTGGTTGAGTTACCGATTGGTTGAGTAACCGATTGGTTGAGTAACCGATTGGTTGAGTTACCGATTGGTTGAGTAATCGATTGGTTGAGTAACCGATGGGTTGAGTAACTGATGGGTTGAGTTATTTGATGAGTTGAGTAACCGATTGGTTGAGTAGCCGATTGGTTGAGTAGCCGCTGGGTTGAGTTACCGATTGGTTGAGTAACCGATTGGTTGAGTAACCGATTGGTTGAGTAACCGATTGGTTGAGTAACCGATTGGTTGAGTTACCGATTGGTTGAGTAACCGATTGGTTGAGTAACAAATTGGTTGAGTAACCGATTGGTTGAGTAACCGATTGGTTGAGTTACCGATTGGTTGAGTAACCGATTGGTTGAGTAGCCGCTGGGTTGAGTAACCGATTGGTTGAGTTACCGATTGGTTGAGTAACCGATTGGTTGAGTTACCGATTGGTTGAGTAACCGATTGGTTGAGTAGCCGCTGGGTTTAGTAACCGATTGGTTGAGTAGCCGCTGGGTTGAGTAGCCGATTGGTTAATCGGGAGAGCCCAGCGCTTGTCGTTTTTATTGACCCCGGAGAGGCCGATTGGCTGAACGATCGCTCCTGAAAAAATTCACGGAAACTGACCGAGCGGTGAATGAGCTGTCCGCCGGTCTCCAACAGTGTTTTATTCTCGGCCGACAGAGTGAGATTCACGTCAATATCTCTGCCCCTTTAAAGAGTAGGGGCCGTCCTCTAGGGCAGCCAAATCCTGGCTTTGCGTGCATCGATAGGCCCCGCTTGGCAATGGCGGCGTAACAGTGCCACACAGAAGGTCGATGAACCGTGGCTGGGAGGTGATGATTGACAGGAGGCGAGGTTCCTCTGGGAGGCTGATGCAATGGTTCACATTCACAGCTCAGGAAGTAACGGATACCACAAAGATGTGGTTGGGTCGGCATGGTGGGTGGGGGGGGGGGGCGCTAATGCCGGTGTCGAAGCGACCGAGCCAATAAAGATGAAACCCTGGGTTCAATTTAGGGTACAGCTGCGTTATCCAATAATTTGTGTACAATAATCGATCACTCACGTGTAACAATTTACAGATACCCCCACTACATTTTTTAAAAAATTACCTTCTTTCTTCTCAGCAGGTGATTGAGTGTCGTGAAAGCGACCGCTTCACGTCAGACATGGCGTTGGGCGGTTGCGCGGAGCAGGAGGGTGGCGGCACGGACGGAGATTCACCGCGGGGCACGGGTGGGCACGGGTGGGCACGGCGGCTCCCTCGCCAGGAACATGGGGCGGGCACGCGCCACCGCCGCAGGATCACCATTTGCAGATCGTGTCGCCAATTCTGTGACGTGGGTTCGATTCAAGATATCGGAGGGAGACGGAGCAACAGCTGCGAGAATTTGGGGGTGATGTGTTTGCGCTGATACAGAGGATGCTGTGCCATCGCAGCCCTCAAAACACAATCGTCGTATAATCTCTTCCCATTATATATTTTTGTTGTTGACGGATGGGAAGAAAGAAAAGCACGCGAGTGTGCGTGGATTCCGGAAACGGTGTCAAACGCGTGGTCTGTTCCCTGCGCGTAATTAATTAGCGAAGAATAACGGTAACCTTGGCGCCAGGCAAAACAAGGAGGCATCGCCGTGTTCCGGCTGAGGTGAGGCAGCGGCGCTGCCACGGGGAAGGGCAACTTACGCGTTGGTTTGTGTCTCCAAGTTTATGGGCAGCACCTTTGGTCAATTTGGTCGGTCTCAATCGAGTAAGTCGCTGAAGGGCAGCATACATTTACGCGAAAGTTAATTTCAAATTGGACATCTTGGCGTGAGTTTGCCGTGATCCCACGTTATGGACGGACGGACAGGCAGGCAGGCAGGCAGATGGACGATCAGATGAAATGCACAAACACTTTCGGTCATAGTTGCGGGGCATTAATAAAAAAGCGAGAAAATACGACGGCTGCATGCAGAGGCTGAGCACCAGTGATTGACAGCATCCCTGATTTTAATGAATAAGTAACGCAGCGAAGGCATAATTACCGAGTTACAGAGATGTCAATGTCACCATTAAAAATGTGCTCTAATGACAACGACATGGAAATGCTTTGTTGACAGTGTAAACTTTGATGTCTAACGATGCATTAGCATTCATTAATGCATCGGGGTGCTGCACAGTGATGTAGAGTCAAAGTTTTATTTTTTCTTTCCCCCAATTTAGAATGATGTGAATGATTAACGAGGGAAAGTGACTGCCACTATAATTGAACTACATGATATCGCTGGGATAATGGCGTGCGATTATAGGGGGGTGGGGGGTAATAGGAAATGTGACTTGAATTTCAGGCTATGGCCATAGTCGGTGGTCAATGATGTCTGAAGCACGTTCTGACCGTGCCTCGTCAACCAAATTGACCAGTACGGTGATCAAAATTGCGTGGCTGAGACTTTCATTGTCCAGCGATGGATTGACAGAATTTAATTATATTTTTTAGGATGACTTCCAAGTAAATATACGCAGAGTGTGTGCTTAACAGTTATGTATTTGAATGAAGACAAAATCTAACTTTTAACATTTATATCGTACACGAAACAGCGTCTGTAGTATAATATCCATTACACTGCTGCGTATCGTTACTATATGCACAATTATACTGGCAAACGTCAAAGTTAATAAAAAATAGCGGTATTTGGGGAAAATGCCTTGTTTGTCTCTATGAAATGTTCGCTTTTCAAAAGTGCTGTGAACACCACAAAGGAAAGGGAGGCTTGGCCGGAGACGGCCCCTGGCTGAAACGCGCTCCCCACTCGTGTCAGAGGTTCGAATCCAGCCGCCGCCCTAAACTAAAACTATTCAACTTTGTTTTACCAGCTAAGTCCCACTGAGCTATATAGATCTTTTTTTTTACAGACGCGACCTGTCCACAAATGCATACCTGTCAACCGCTCAGTGCCTGCCTTATCGCAGACCAATTCAGACCTTATTGGTCACCATGTGCCCTTATAATTCTGAAACGTTCATCCTACAATGTCCCATCACAATGGAGAAATGCAAACAAATAGACTTTTTTTTGCTCGTATTGAAACGGCGGTCTGCCGTATGGACCTGAAAACTCAATTTCTCTGTACAGTAACATGGATAAACCGTTTGGGTTTACAGCTATGCAAATGATAGCTTAACGAAGTGGTTTTTGTGGAAATTTCTCGCAGTCAAATACCCTAAACGCATGTTTGTAAATGTAGAGGGGGAAACACCGGGAGGACCTGGGGAAAAACCGGGAGGACCTGGGGTAAAAACCGGGAGGACCTGAAAAAAAACCACGCGACCACGGGGAGAGAGAGAGAGAGAGACACGCAAACTCCAAATATACAGCAGCAGCAGCAGCAGGCGTCAGGGTCACGATCGAACCCACGACCTCCTGTACACCAGGCGAGGGAGTCCACGTATTGCCTCGTTAAGATGACACCGCAGACTATCCAATTGGGTTTATACCCGGCGGGATTAAACACCCACCACTGCCAGGCCAATTCCCCAGGTCACCCTTGAATTTGAGACTCACCTTGGTCTCTCCCCCATTGTCACCTGGTTCACTAAAAATCAACTTGAAACTGTGAACCAGCCCCACCTAAGTTCGATTACAGGCCACGGCCAACATCTCTGGCGAGTGACATCTGCACCGGTCCTGGGGACCCCACCCCACCCACCCCAATGTCACCAAACCCCCACTGCCCAGCGTGGTGAAGTATGGCGAAACACCCCCCCCCCCCCCGCTCCCCCCAGCAGCGGCGGACTGACAGAGAGCCGGAATTCTCTTGCTGTATTGCAGCGTTCTTCACTAATGTTCAGAGGTGGGGGCGGGGGAAAGAATTTCGCCGAGAAGATGTCAACAGTGTGAGGCCCGCCACACGTTTGGGTTTGACAGCAGCCACCACCACCACGACCGTGATGATGATGATGGGGAGTTGGGGTGGCTTGCGCTGTTTGTGTATCGTCAGGGGCCGCACTAAAGGCCCCCGGAGGCCGCCAGTGACCCGCGGGCCTTGAAGTGAAGAAACGCCGCAGTGTTCGATGGCGAATGAAATCATCGACCTTGACCACATTAAACTTCATCGGTTCAGCCAAGAGTCGAGAGAGGGCGCTATGAGCACGTAGATCCGGTCGTCTTTTTTTTTTAAGCACCCTGTGACACTTTTACGGGGACTATCGTTTTAGTGGAAAACAACGGATAATAAGACCACGCACGGTAGCATGATAACAAACGTAACGTTAATAACTTCAAAAAGTCAAATAGTCTCCACTTGTTCGCCATCATTGTCAACGCATTTGCCTGGAAGCATCTCCCAGGTGGTCTACAGAGCCCGGATGGCACACGTCCCGTGGTATTGTTGCAAATTCTCAGAAGTGCTAAAACATTTAATTGTTACATTTGAAGCGCCGAGTCCGAGAAGGCTTTGGGTGACGAGTCGCTTGTGGCGGCTTGCACAGGCAGCGCGGTGACTTGGCCACCTAAGCGCCCCCCCCACCCACACTCCCTCCACCACCACCACCAACGCGGGGTCCTTGAACAGCTGAGAGCGGCCAAGGCTGGCGGCGTTGGTCGTGGGCCCGCTTCACTGACGAGTCGCATCGGCCCTCGGGCGCGCTGTTAAGGAAGGAGGCTCCCGGGGTTGAACCCCAAGTGGCGACAGGAGAGAGGCAGCGTGTGTGTGTGTGAGAGAGAGAGCACGCGGCTCAAAGTGGCTAAAGCACAATCGGACACACGAGTCACTTCCAGTGCAGTTTGTCGTGCAGCCGAGGCGAGTAGGCCGCAAAGCGCCAGTCGACTGTAACGCCAGCTACTACGGGGGTTGAGTTGTGTGGTAAGTGTCGGGTTCTTTGTTGTTCATAACATAGGGTTTGTTGTTGTTGAGGTTAGAGCGCGTGGATTTAAATGCGTCGTTAAACCCGCCACCACCCGACATAGCTAGTTAGTAAGGGTTGTCAGGTCAACAGAACGTGACATTTCGTTACTAGTACAGCACACCGGTGTGTTGGAGTACTCAGATTGTAAATGTTGTGGATATGCTCTCAGATTGTAAATGTTGTGGATTTGCTCTCCAACAAACCGATATGCTGTACTAGTAACGAGTTGGCATTTTCTGTGTACGTGACAAACCTTACTAATTGGCTGTGGCGGGTTTGACGACATTTATATGTTCGCGATCTAACCCTAAAACCTATATTTGTTGTTGGCTTTGTTTGAATATGCAGTGCAGCGGCGGATCGAGACTGCTGTCGGTGCTCCTGGAATTGTTGTGAGTGGAATTGTACCGCGTGTCACGTTGACAAATCGAGCGCCTTCGATACGGGGGGACTGGGTTGTCGCGGTGGCACGGCAACTGGCGCCGGACACTGGACAACCCCAGGTCGACTCCCGGGTCACACGGCTAAAAGCCGGGCGGCGGTGGCGGTGGTGGTGGTGAGCGATGTCTCGAATAGGGCTTTAAACGCCTCCATATTCCTTTACCGCCACGACCGCCACCAACCAGTCTTCACTCAACTCGTATTGATCAGCGATGGTGAAGCATGGCCAAAACAGCCCCCCGTTTTTGATGACAGGGCGGGGTGGAGTCATTCTTCTAGCAGTGCATTTCACAGAGATCTGTGCATTGTTGTTGTTGTTGTGAGACATACAATTGACTTTTGTCGTGGGACTGGCGTCTAAAGTTAGTTTCACGAAGGGGAACTTCCTCATTGCTGTACTGTACGCACAGTGCCGAATGATAGTCTCCCACAATGTTGGCTTTGACGGTGCATGTGAGGCTCGCACGTCATCACCTGGGCTAGCATCACCTGGGCTAGCATCACATAGGTTACCATCACATGGGTTACCCTCACCTGGGCTAGCATCACATGGGTTACCATCACATAGGTTACCATCACCTGGGCTAGCATCACATGGGTTACCATCACATGGGTTACCATCACATGGGTTACCATCACATGGGTTACCATCACATGGGCTAGCATCACCTGGGCTAGCATCACCTGGGCTAGCATCACCTGGGCTAGCATCACCTGGGCTAGCATCACATGGGTTATCATCACATGGGTTACCATCACATAGGTTACCCTCACCTGGGCTAGCATCACATAGGTTACCATCACATGGGTTACCATCACATGGGTTACCATCACATGGGCTAGCATCACATAGGTTACCCTCACATAGGTTACCCTCACATAGGTTACCCTCACATAGGTTACCCTCACATAGGTTACCCTCACATAGGTTACCCTCACATAGGTTAACCTCACATAGGTTACCCTCACCTGGGCTAGCATCACATGGGTTACCATCACCTGGTGAGGCAGGGTAATGTCGCGGCGCATTCGACGAGATTTGGCCATCGGTGCGAATCCGGCGTCGGCCATACCGCGTGGCGCGCGGGCTTGCCGCGTGCGGCAAGGTGCATTAATTTCCGTGCCCACGCGCGTCAACTCTTGGCCAGCGGCAGCACGCAAGCAGGCAAGGTCGCTCGCCGGCCCGGCGCCAAGAGGCATATCGGCGAAAAAACCCAGCGCCCTTTTGCGCCAAACCCCACAAATACATCTTGGGGGGCGCCCGTGCCAGGGCGGAAATTTTAATTTAAAAACAGCTCCCAACGAGCGCACCGTTTGGGATGATTACTGCGTTCAAATACGTGCACCATCATTTACGTCCTTGGACACGTTAGGAATGTTAATAAGGATTTTTTGTTGATAAAGTGAATTCGTCTTATCTAATTAGAGTATATTTTATTTAAAGTTTACGCGCTCGTACTCGATTTTTAACTTGTGTTGTGTTTTTTTTAACTTTGCACGAGATTATTATACACTGAAGTGAGCAGTATTTCAGATGCGTGCAAACGCTCGCATGTGGTGGTTTGATAGGGCGGTGGGGGGGGGTGTAAAAAGTGGTGGCACAACGGAGTTTCAGTTTTTAGTTTTAGTTATTTGGTATAGCCCTGTTGAGCCATTCGGCTCTTGAATCGGGTGCAACCCCAACAAACAAAAAAACATTAACAAGAAACATCTTAAAGTGACTACGCGCGAACGGAAGAATCCAGGAAAAAGCAGCAAAGTCTTCCAGAAAAAGCACCGTATATCAACGCTGTGTGCAAAAATCCCAGTGGGATGCAAGTCAAACAATAACAATCACGAGACAATTTAGATTAAAGTTATCAGTCTAACTCTGTACTACAACAAACAAATATGGCTAAACCAAAACGTTTTCGAAATCACCAAAATAAAGCTATAAAAGCAATGTAACAGTGATCACAGGAACTGTGATTCAGATTTAACAATAAACGATATATACATAACATGTACTACCAAACTTTGCAGCCATAGCTGGCTGCATGAGTCACTCCATAACAGCAGGAGTATCAGTAGGGGTATCCAAATGTTTCAATGCACCTTTAAGATCAGCACACGATAATATGAACACGGCGACCTGAGTTGGCCACGACTAACGGTGACCAACATCCCGAACCGTTCTTGGGTACTCTCCCCCGTGCCGTACCCTTTACAAACCCACACTGACCAGCCTGGTGAAGTATAGTCAAAATGTATCCCATGGTCGACGGGGCATCGGGGGGGGGGCCTTCGTTCAGCAGTGGTTGGCAAAGAGATGTACTTTATTATAATTAATTTTTACTATTTGAAATTAACCAATTCTGGAGGTTGTTGAATGTGGTTGGAAATGTAATTCAGGTAGGTTGACACAGAGCGCTGTTTGCAAACCACTGCGGCACCACTCTCTACACTGTTAATGTGGTAGTTTGTGTAAAAAAAACTATTTTAAAGTGCATATTTTAAATACATTATGCAAAGTATTTGTGATTCCTATTTCAAATACATTTTTCCAAGTGTTTTTTTAAGTGTTATGTCCGATACATTGGTAAGAGTTTCTTGTCCACATCTGCTTATATATGCATGATATGTATTTACTAAACCGCCAAAGAAGAGAACGTGTTTATTGGTGCTCAATATTCCAGCCAGGGGTCAGCCTTTCCCATTATCTCTTTGGGGTAAAAGTGGTTGTTCAACGGAGAGACTTGTCCCCATCATAGAAATGTGGAATATCCACCATCGGGGGTCAGTGCTGTCAACAGAGATAGGGACTCCCGCATTATTTTTTTCCGGCAGAGACCATTAACAATTTTATCAATCGCACAGAGAAACACATCCGCTGAAGAGATGTAGCGATGATATCATATCTTATGCACGTGCTCGGTGGATTATCACACCGCGGGATTGTGAGAGGTGGTGATGATGGCATGGTGGGGCTTTCATCTGGGCAGTGAATTGATCATGACTGCTGGTGGCGATGAAGATGATGGATCCAAATTGTGATCTGAAACAATTTGGCAGTGCAACAAGAAGCACCTGTTTTAAACAAGTAGCCGTCACACACATGACAGCGTTTTTTGGTGCCACCCACAGGGGTTAATGGAATATTGTTATTGTGCCAGTTTCATTACACTTGACGATGACTGATGGTCGTTTCTTTCTCTGTGAATGCAGATCGGCTGCAGGGATGGATGCGGATTTTGAAAGACTCCGTAAGTATACGCCAACGTCAGGTCACCATCCTTCTCTTAAACTTGAAAGTAATAATTATATAAACATGACAATTATCCTTTTTCCCCAGAAAGCCTGCATCTCAAGACTTGGAGATTTGTCTTTTTTTATTGGGACACTGCAGTGGTGTAAGGGGTACCACACTGAACTTGCAATATGGATGTCAATAGTGGTCATCACTCCACGTGCCGGGAGCATCTCCTGTAACTGAATTTACTCCCTCTTAACAATCCACTTCCCTGGAGCCCCCCCTAGTGCGTGCTAAATGACGCACGGCACACACAGTCAGAAGAAACACAGACCGCGTCTCATCAACACAGAGGTCCCCCACGTCCCTTTCATGTCCGCATTTGTCTGTCCACGGCACCGCTTAATCCAGGCCCTCAAACTGTGGAGCTGGCCAAAGCTGTGAGTGCCGGAAACAAGGTGGAGGCCATGACAATTGCAGCTCTCCTGGCACACTCCAATACCCCGCTGGAGATCCGCCCACAAGAAAGCATCTACCCGGCACAGGAGATCAGGTGAACGCCGGATCAGCCTTTGTCCGCTTGTGCCCATTGTCCACTGCGTGAGCGTCGCTGCAAGGCTGCAGTTATAACAAGCCTTGGCCACGCATTTCTGTATGCCGGTGGTTGTCCATGCTGCGGTCTGTGGACTACTGGTGTTCTGCAAGGCCGTGGGGAAACTGGTGCAGATAGTTTTCTTATTCCACAAAACGCCATATATTTTTACTGCAAGGTGGTCCATGTAAAATATTTGACGGTGTACGAGTGACCACCACGCACGCCAAATTGTCACAGGCAGCAGCTGGGCTTTGCTAGGGGATGGTTAGCATAGGGCAGTGCAGCAAAGGCTGTTGTATCATACTTCCATTGCTCCCCACCTTCACCAACGCACACTGACCAGCGTGAAGTCTGCGGGTCGAGGAAGATTTTGAACCCGTGCAATGTACTGCGTTTCTAACCACGTATTGATCATGGCTGCTGCTGATGATGATTCATCCCAATGCAGGAGTCCTCAGAGAGTCTCAATTCCGAAGGCTCAGCGGGTCGCTTATATGGATATAAAATGGCATCGTTATTGTTGTAAATGTTTTGAAAATCGGTGGTTATGTTCAACACATGAATCCCCCAAATTATCAAGATCTGGATAATAATAATGATAATAATATGGATGTAACCATCCATGATTCATTGCGATTCTGGGTCAATATTTAATTGGCTATTTGATTGTTTCTGTTACGAGAGATGGAGAATCAATCATCGTCGTCTTTCCACTGCTAGATGAAGGCTTTCCCACGCCGTACCTATTCCCCGCTGCCTCTTGCGATGCCACAGTTTATCTTAGTTCTGCGAATGAACTGACCTCGCCTCCGCTCAATCTCAATAGCGGTTCTTCTATCAGCCGCAGTGTGTAGGATCCACAGTGGTATTAATGTATACAATGTACCGTGGTATAGACGTTTGTGAATTTAAAATAATTGATTATTGCGTGCAACGTTAGATTTTTGATCTGTGAATTATTATAGCCCGACTGGATACATCTAATAGCAAAAGATTCACGTTTATTATACATATTGTCTTCGTTATAATGTATTTTTTTGCCCATTAAATATTTTGAAATCTAGGTCTCTGACTTAAGCACACAATGGGCTGCTTGTGCACAAAAAAAGAAGATTGTCTTTAAAAGTAAAGTGCCGTACTTTTCTGCAGACAGTGTGCTTTAGCGATATCCTCCAACAAGTCCAATCAGTGGCAGGAATCGAACTGTCATTGCCCAGTGGACAGGTTCAGTGGCGAACGCTCCGGTTTAATCCAGACGCCGTTTGCTGCACCCCCCCCACCACCACGTGGGTTAAGGCAAAGCGGGGGGGGGGGAGGGGGTGGGTCACGCTTGCGCTTTACGTTGGGGTGGGGTTAAATATCGGTGGGACAAAGTGATTGTGCCTTGAGCTTATTTACGACAAAATGAACGTGACAAACCGAATGAGATAAATTGAACTGATAGAAAATCCCCACTGAATTACCCAAGCGAGTGGGGGCAGGGATGGAAGAAAAAACTCGTACCGCAGAGTGTCTGGACTCGTGCAGTGGCAGCAGGAATCCGTGTGCTTGTACGATAATGAACAGCGTCAGACGTCTTATCTGAATTCTTCAAAAGCCATAATTTCTGTTATCCTAGGCTGAAAATAGACGCGTAGATTTCACCAGTTTGAGGGTTTCATTAAGCTATAGGTGAACTTTGAGCCTTTTGGTCATTCGATGATAATATATATTTTTTACACCGGAATATTAATAAATTGGCTGAATGTGGAGGGAGAAAAATAAATGAAACGGCCATTGGGTCTTGGCGGCTACATCACCGTGATCATCAGGAAAGTCCTGCCTGCGGCTGACTCTGCAACAAAGAATATAAATTAAAAGTTAAGTCCGTGTGATTGTCCAAGTGTGAGAAAGGCTTTGAAATCTAAAAGCCATTACGCAACAATGGAATACGTTCATGGGAAGTTTGGAGGACATTGAAAAAAAAATTGGTTAATCAGATCTAAAAAAAAAACTTAAATTGAATTCATGCTCTTCTAGATTTTAAGCTTTCGTGACTGCAAGGATCCATACTCTTTGGTTCTATTCGGTCACGGAGGTAAAAAATGAAAGAACAAAAATCACGACGTTTCGGCCACAACACAAGTGGCCTTCATCAGGTGAAGGGACCGTGCTGTCCTCCCCCCCCACCCCCGTGCCAGTCCGTTACGTTGTTGTACGGTCATGTCCTCGCACACCATCATTTGTACATTTGTAAATTCCCCTCCCCCCGTGTCAGGTGCTTTATGATCATTTTATGCTAATTCCTTTGTCAAAGCGTTTTGTTTCCTCCCACACAGCTTAAAGGTCGCGACCTGGCTTGACTTTCTTCATTCCAACGCTGTCCTCGTGACAGCACGGTCCCTTCGCCTGATGAAGGCCACTTGTGTTGTGGCCGAAACGTCGTTATTTTTGTTGTTTTATATTTTTACCTACGTGACTTTAGCGAATAGAACCAAAGAGTATAAATTCATACTCTTTGTTTTTTTTTCGGTAAAGTCACGTAGGTTAAAATAAAAGAAAAGACAACTAAATTAAAACACGACGTTTCGGAGGCGACACAAGCTTCCGTCTTCAGCGAATTTTTACTGTGTCTGTACCACCTGAAGACGGAAGCTTGTGTTGCCTCCGAAACGTCGTGTTTTAATTGAGTTGTTTTTTCTTTTATTTTAACCTACGTGACTTTACCGAAAAAAACTAAAGAGTATGAATCCTTGCAGTCACGAAAGCTTCAAATCTAGAATTAAATAAAATTGTTTCCTTCCAATCCAGATCGTGGCCGTGTTCTTTTTTGTTTAAAAACTGCAGCGATGATTTTGAATCGTAGGTCATAATGTATTATTCATTGCCCATACCTTTTTTATATACTTCCCGATTTTAAGTCTTGGATGTGTATACAGTAGTTGTTTGAGGATCTGATTTAGAAGGAACTTTATTTGTCTGTCTTTGAATCATCCTGTCGGTTACGACACAACTAACAATGACGATAATGTGTAGGCCTTTGTTCATCAATCGACTGCGGGACGAAGGCCTTCACAGTACCCTGTCGCTCGTGAGAGTTGTTTGGCCTTGCTTCACCACGCTGGTCAGAGTGTTGTGAAGGGGTGGGGGGGACGGCAGGACCGGTTTAGTTATCAGCTACCTTGCCAGGTATGCAGGAGGTCGTGGGTTCGATCCCGACCCTGACGCTTGCTTTATATTTAAAGTCTGCATGTTCTCTCTGTCTCCCCATGGTCGTGTGGACTTTTCTCTGGTTTTTCTACCCACATTTAGAATCAACGTGCGTTTAGAGTATTTAGCTCCTGTAAATTTCCACATGATGATAAGCCACTTAGTTGAGCTTTCATTTGTGACCAGGTCGCTTATGTAAAAACAGGTATATTAGCTCAGTGGACCTTAACTGGTAAAATAGGAAATAGTAAAAAAAAAATGGTTTATCTCGCCACTGATGTTAGCCACGGCCAGTTTTATCGTGCACCATGTTAACCATTGCACCACCACTCCACCCCGACTGTGTATTGTAAATAATAATCTGAATAAATAATACTTTACAGTCCACTGTCAATCCACTGCTGGATGAAGGCTTCTCCACGCCATGTCATGGGAGTTGTATTGGACCACACACTTCACCACACTGGTATATTGTGGGTTGGTGAAGTTCAGTGACCAGCGTGGTGGTGGTGGTAGTGGGGAAGTATGGCCCAGCAATGTTTGGAGAGGCCCTCATCCAGCAGCGTATTGACAAACATGTGCTGTAGGTGTACTCGTAGAACATCGCACGGCTGCGAGCATTCTGGCAATGTACGTTTGTATGTTGTATATATGTTATATGTATGTATGTTGAACTTTTGTACCGTATGTAGCCAACCGTGCTAATTGGAGTTCTGGGGGAAGGACAAAATAAACACAAAAAAAAAGTTTTTTGAGATATTAGTTTTCAATCTAGATTTCAAAGTACGTAGCTCCAGTGGCTTCCTAACATCAGAAGGAAGAGCGTTCCAGACGGCCGCAAAAAGCGCATCTGAAAGCGCGTGATTCATTGGCCGTCTTTGTTCGGTGGCCAGCCAAAATCCGTTGCTGTGAGGATGACCAGAGTTCGCGTGATGGTTTATGCTCTTGACGAGATCGGCAAGGTATTGTAGTTCATTTGTGGCAAGCACTTTGTGTGTAATGGGTGCGACCTTATGTATCCGGTCGGCAACCGGAAGCAAGAAGATCGTGGGCCTAATCCATGTCTTGGTGGAGAGGAGGTCACCGCTGCTCTTTGACAGATTAATTAGCATTTGGGAGGAAAGGTGCCCCCTGTCAAAACATCAACCACGGTGGCTGTGCGTGACGTGTCACCGTGTGCAGGATTCAGGTCCGCTTTGAAGATGCCCAGAACACAGTGGGGCCCATCGCTCTGACCGTTCATTCACATTGGACAGTGGCACACCTGAAGAGTGAGGTAGGCACGTGCTGGCCCAAGTCTCAGAATAATAACTCTGCATTGTTTATCAACCCAGTCTGGATGACGGCTGGCTAAGTGGAGACCCGAGGGGGACGTGGACTCGCGACCTGTCACTGGCGGGTCGTGAGTTTCAACAAAAACTTCATCCCCTTTGCAGCCTTTCTTAGAAAAATTAAATGGTGAATGCGCAGCCCTTCAATTGCTCTCTCATGCCACTGCCGGCACAAGTGCCTCCAGTAGAGGAAGCTTTATCGTGGATATTTGTCCACGCTGGCCATACAAAACCGCATTATTATCATTGTAAATCTTAAACGGCGGAAGAATACCCACACTTTACCCCACCACGCGCGACCTTGCCGATCGGCCAATCGTGGCGCACCCGCTTTCGCCGCTGGGTGTACAGAGGTGGTGGCTGTTTAGAAAACTTGCCGCGTTGTTTTAACCGCCTCGCCGGGAGATCGAACCGCGGCCTCTGCATTGCAATACCAGCGCCCTGAGAACGATTCGATGCTTTATAAAAAATATATACAATGTTTAATTATCAGTGTGTCGACCTTCGCACCACCCCAGCATCCCCAATTGTCCCTGTCCCATGACATTTTTTTCCCCTTCCCCTCCCCCCTGGTGTGTTAGGTTTTCCAGAAGTACGGCTTCCACCCATTGCTGCAGCGGTGGGTGTTTGGGGGCCGACTGGCCAAGGACTGTCATTCGCTTCACTTCTACGGCGTCAGGACAGATGGAGACCACGCCTTCCTCTACCTCCTGAAGGTGCCATCTTCCAGCGGCGATGTCGCAGAGAGACACAACGCAGGTACGGGAGCACGATCCCCCCCGCACCCTGCCACCCCCCCACAACTCCGGAAGAGAGGTCACGCCGGCAGACGGGAGCCTTCAGCTTGGCCGAAGTTCTGTGAGAAGAGTAAAACGTGGGGGTCAAATGATAGAAAAGCGGGTGCATTACAGTTTAGTTAAGACCGTATATTTTTTAAATAAAAAAAAATTACATCGGAAACTAGCTGTTGGCTCTGGTTGTCTCTTGTTTTGTTGTTGCTGTAACAGGAGAACCGTTGGGTGGCGGTGAAAGGCCAAGAGCCAACAGGATGAGTCTACAGGACATCCTTCACGTGATAACCGACCAGCTGGGCTCAATGGACCCGGCTCCTCTCCTATCCAATCCCCCAGCAATAGCCGCCGTGAGTGTCATTTGAACTGTTCGTTCATTTGTTAACTTCTTTTTGGAGATCCCCAGCGGCAAGTTGGTCAGTGGGTGGGTGTGTTTGGTTGTCCATTAAAAACCCCTCCGAGCCAGACTTTAAGAGGCCAGAATTCAGGGTAGGCCAGAGGGTAACTTTAAATGATTAAATAACGACGCAAAGATAATTTTTGATAACGTAAAAAAAACAACTGATTGGAACACTTACTCGTGCGCCATTTGGCCTGCACATGGTAATTTTTGTGACTTGCTTACCTTTTCTCTATTTGACACGGTTTTTGTAACTTGCTGACCCAACCCTAACTGGAACATCTGCGACAAAGAGCTTCATAGCTCATCGGATTCCAGTCTAAATAAATATTCTCATGGAATCTGACTCTACGGCCATTTTGCCTCGCTATCGCGTGCTATTTGGTGAACCCCTTTTTGAGACCTTGCAACCGGCAGCACAACGGGGGGGGGGGTGGAAAATCCAGCGTGGTTTGAGCGCACGCGTTGCTCTCGCTATGGACGTGCGTTTAGGACGCGACGGCCGAGTGGTCGTGTTCGGCCTGCACGCTGCTCAACCAGCCCAGAGCCGCCCGCTGCTGTGTGTGTGACACCCCTCGACAGCCCGATGCTCCCGAGCAGGTGAGAGAGTCGTTTGAAAACCCGTGGACAAGTGGACAACCACGTGTCCGTTCTTTTGAGCTGGTGGGTCTGGACAAGGGCGCGTGTGCGATCCACCGCTGCGCGTGGCCTTCGCGCGTTTGCTAGCCCCAGCAGGCGGAGGGAGAGTGGGCGGACAGGAATCGGTGCGTCGCACGGATCTCACGCCAGCGGTCGTTGGCTCCTCTGGGCCGTCTGGTTTATGGGTTGGTTGTTTATGGCAGGGCGGGGGGGGGGGAGAAACCTTTTAACGTTGCGCGCTTAATTTGTTTGTGACGTATTTGTACACACTTGTAACAGGGCTCGCGGGCCGTTCCGAGAACTATATACCGGACGCGGTGTGTCCGGCGCGGAAAATATATTCTGGGGGGGGGGGGGGGGGGGGGGGGGGGGGGGGGGGGGGGGGGGGGGGGAGGTCGCCAAACCAGATGGGTGCTCGTAAAATCGAACACCCGTTGTTAAATGTCGTCGTGTAGCTGCACGTGCCTGTACACACGTGCACATGCGTCATGTGCACGTGCGTCATGTGCACGTGTGTGAGGTGCTCGCTAAGAGCACTTACCCCAACAGTCTTGTTAAGGCTATACGAGGGAGTCTTTGCACATGCATCAGCCCTTCTGACAATCCACTGCTGGATGAGGGCCTACGCACAAATACGCAACATTGTACCGGCTGTGGCCGAAAAAACCCCTACTTTTTAAGTGGAATCTAACTGACGTGTTAAGCCTACGTGTTTTGAACTGGAATCCTAACTGTTGACACTCAACAGTGGCTTAAGTGGTCAGCTTGCCGACTTCCAAACTGCGCGGCCACTTGCGTTAAGATGTAGTCTCGCGTGTGCTAACCGCTGCGTGTGCGCTTTGTGTCGCTGGCGAAGGCATTATTCCTTTCCGTGCGAGAGAGAGTTTACTCCGTGTGGCAATAAACTCAGTCTGCCTTTGAGCGGTCGAGGAAACAACTACTTAGAGGTAATATTTTTTTATTAAGTAGAGTTTTATTGCGCGTTACTTTGAAAGTGCAACAACAGAAAAGCCTAAATCCTGCGGGGAAATATTGGTTGCTAATTGTATGATTATGTAATGTTTTACGTACTTTATTGATAGAATGAGTCGATGATTAATTTACAAACAGGCTTTTTTTTTGTTCCCAAAGTAATTCGTTTCAAAGTGGGTTAAATATTCAAGAAAAAAATGACACAATTAATTTTCATCATTAACTGTTGTGTGACGGGAGTCTGTAATTCTTCAAGTCAGTTTTGTCTTTCTTTTTTAACAGAATTAATGAGGAATCGGTCCACAATCGAGGTATATACATTTTTTCCCCCTTGCAAACATTAGGTGAAATTTATTCTATGGGCCCAGGGCAGATATTTCGCTTGTGGCTACCACTTGGCGTGACATCACTTTAGCGGTTCCGTATTCTTTACGTGGCTAATAATGGTGTATTATGTGAGAACCGTTTGAAATTAGCGGGGTTATCAAGTAGCATACAATTCACGCCTATTAGCCATTTCAATCAATTGGAACCACTGAGGTTTTGCAAGCCGGTGGTGGCACCACGCCTATAATACAGCACTGTCGAGGCATCGAGGGTTGGTGGATTCCCGCACCAATGGTGTGACTCCCTATCCCTTGGGTGTCGAGGAGGTGCCATTCCCTTGCTTGTCAGAAGAGGGCGGCACATCAATTGTGGAGTCCCATCTGTTCCACCTGTATGGTATTAGTGTTTCCCCCTTCGCATGTGTTGGTGTTCTCCAGGTGCTGTAGTTTCCTCCCACATGTAAATACTCACTAATTGGCTGTAGACATCTTCATATATAGAGGACCGTAGAGCTTAGGCAATTGCTCTCACGAGCTCACCCAGGTGACTTGCCTTCACGCTCGTCTGTGGTTGCCTGCTGCGCCTCTGAGTCGTTCTCCCCCTTGGAGAGCGAGCGAACAATTTGCAAGTTGAAATTATTTTGTTATTTTGCTACATCGTCTCATAGAAAATTCTGCTCTGGCCCATGGACTAACTTTGGCAAGGTGATTTGGTTTCAGCGGCCGTTTCCGACTTCTTTGACAGTGCCTTCAGGTATTCCCTTCGGTGCAGCAGATTTCACTTCTTTCTAAAGGCAGGTTCAGACCTGAGCACCCGTTTTTGCACAATTTGGTTGCATGCAACTGAATGGCTTCTATGCGGACGTCTCTACAACAAAAGGTGGCTAAAGATACGCATTGTTGTTGCGCAACTTCTCCCCCAGGTGTGTACACTGCCTAACTGTTGGGGTGGTCATTAACTCTTCAGGTGTGACATCTGGTGCAACATCATCATCATCTGGTGCAACATCATCATCATCTGGTGCAACATCATCATCATCTGGTGCAACATCATCATCATCTGGTGCAACATCATCATCATCTGGTGCAACATCATCATCATCTGGTGCAACATCATCATCATCTGGTGCAACATCATCTGGTGCAACATCATCATCATCTGGTGCAACATCATCATCATCTGGTCCAACATCATCATCTGAAAAACTATTTTCGCTTGTGGTATATGGGTTTTAGTTGTTCTACAGAGATATATAATTCCTCCAACTGTTTTATGATTCTATCTCGATCGTGTGTTTTATACCTTGTCATCCATCTTGCTGTCTGCAACCTACCACATGTGATTTACCAAACGGTGACACCCTATTTGCTGCATTTGCATTCGCGTTTGCTAACTACCTCGCCCGGTATACAGGAGGTCGTGGGTTCATTCCCGAGCCTGACGCCTGCTGCTGTATATTTGGAGTTTTTGCATGTCTCTCTCCCTGTGGTCGAATGGTTTTTTCTCCGGGTCCTTCAGCTTTTTATTCCACATTTCGAATCAACATCGTGCGTTTAGAGCATTTGGCTGCTATACATTTCCACTTGGTAAGCCACTTCGTTGAGCTATAATTATTTGTGGCCAGGTCGCTTCTGAAAAAGAAGCTAAAATCGCTCAGTGGGCCTTACCTGGTGAAATAAAAAAAATAGTTCATAGTTTTGTATTTTGACATCGTCAGTCAGTTTTGCATTGTGTTTTCTCATTTCTGTTCTCATTCTTATGCAGTCTCATGTATTATATATTTACTTTGGCCGTTGCGTCCTTTCGTATATGTTTTCATGGTTTTAAGATGCCTTTCTTTTTACTTTACCTCCAAATCTCAATGCACGGTCCACCAATCATAATCATCATCATCGTCGTCATCGGTCATCATCCACCATGGTCAATGCACTGCTGGACGGAGGCCTTCCCATACCTTCTGCCTTCCCACGTGGCCGCGTGGCACCACGACCCATCTCGCTTCTGCTCGTCGGCTTTTCCCATCGCTCCCTCTCGGCGGCGGTCGTCCTCTCGGGCGCGTTCTCTCCTCTCGCTGCCATTCCGTCACCAGTCTCGTCCGTTGGCCGTCCTCCCTCCCTCCGAGCCCGCGCGTGTCCTGCCGCCCGAACCCGCCCGCTCCGCTCACTCTTTTCCTCTTTCATGATTCTTGTTGTAACTCTCAAGCATGCTGCTGCCCGAGCCCCCTTCAACTCACGGTTACTTTCCACTCCTATTTTCGATAAACGTGTGAGGTAACCCGCCCCCCCCCCCCCCGTTTTGTTTGTGAACTATAAATATATGAGCGATTGTTATTTACTGACAGGTGTGCGCATGTGTGCGGGTTTTTCCGTGTCGTGTATTTATTCAGGGGAGACGAGGCAACTCCGTGGAGAACTTCATCCGACAGATGTCCTCGCCAACTTCAGACCTGCAGTCCGATTTACTGAAGGCTCTATATAAGTTTTAGCAGCTTTTCCCAGAGCCAAGTCAGAATATTTTTGACGATGCGATCATAAAGAAGTTTGCCGTTTGAACCACTAATGATATGCTTGCACTGTATTGCTGTACTGCTTTTAATGGTACGTCCTTACAAAATTGTTCACGACTTTTTTTTTTTAAGCAGCCAGCTGGTTAGTAGACCGATCAGCCCTAGATCCGAGATGATTATCACGTCGATTAATCGACTCAACGTTGTGTCAATCAGCTTCTCTTCTTTACGTCACCAGTTATTACTTGTGGAACCTGCGTCCCGCAGGTGGGAAACCCCCGACAAGCCGAACACCGCTAATTGGGTTGGTGGGTGAGTGGGTGGGTGAGTGGGCGGGTGGGCGAGTGAGCGGGTGAGCGGGCGAGCGAGCGAGTGAGTAGATGGGCTGGGGCACGCCGTATCTCAGTTATCTCGTGTTGATGCTCTGTTTACCTTGTGCTGCCGACCGGAGTCGATGGAAACTGGTACCGCGTACAAAACAAAGACAAAGATCCCCCATATAGCCTTAACAGACTGTAGGGGCAAGTGCTGTTAGCGAGCACCTATGAAGGCCGGAACGGTACACGAGGGGGTGGGGGGCCAGCACCACGCCCGACCGCCTTTGTCTCCCCAGTGGCGATTTTACACACCGCACCAGGTACTCATTTTGAGGCTGAGTCGACCTAGGGGAGGCCCGGGACCGGTTCAGATAATCGTCACTGGTGTTGGCCGTGAGCGGGAATCGAACCCGGGTCGCCAGGTTCATAGCGCAGCGCGCTAACCGTACCGCGTACACACACACACACGCATCGGCCGAGCAGGACGGTGCGGATCGATGTAAACGCTCGTCGACGTGAGCGCGCGACTCGCGATCGATCGTCTTGCGGTACTGGCGACCTGTGGTGCTCGTGGAGCCGCTGCAACGATACGATCGTTCCTGCGTGCGTTGCGCTGACGCGGCGAGTGTGCGGCGGCGGCGGCGGTAGCAGCGCCGCCGCGCATGGGCGGCTGACTGGAGGGGGACGAACGCGCGGAGCGGTCGGTGCGACCGAAGATGCCGTGACGGCAGTCGGCGCGACTGGCGACGACGACGGAGCCCCGGTGCCTTGGTCGCAGCGTGGCTGGCGTCGTTGGGCCTTCAGAAGTGTTCTAGATCGCGGCGATTAGAAAGGCTGTTGGCCGGCTTGTGTGGAAATAAAGTGCAGTTGAAAACCGTTCAACGTCATCAGCATCTTTATATTTTCTGGAGAAATCCGATGAGCCATGGAGCTCTTTTTCACGAATGTCCAAGTTCGGGTGGGTTCGTCGTCTGCGTTTGAACAAAAAGTGTAGCAGGTTACAAAAGTGCCATTTACATTGCAGAGTTACGGGAAACTGATCTCGCGACGCTGGTCGTATATCGCGAAAACTCAACGCTGTCACTCATCCGTAATGTGGCAGTTTTACGCGGTAATCCCGATATCATGAGCCGCGTTTTTTTTATGGGGCTGTAATACGGCTTGTTCGCAGATGAAGTCACTCATTGGTAAAGTTTGCGTCGATTCGCGCCAGCACAGATGTTAAAATTTGCATCAACAATCTAAGTGAATCGTGCAAAATGATGAGCCAAAAAAAATCTCGATGTTAGAATGTTCCACTTTGTACTTTGTGCGCTACGTTTGAGGCCAGCTCGTTGCGGGTAATTCTGGCAGCAAATTGGAAGCGCGTTTAACGGCGAAGTTGAGTATTATTAATCTCGCCAAGCATTCCGATTATGTAAAACATGCTGCCTGGGCAAATCAATTGGGACTACCAAAAACAAAAAAAGACTTCTTAAATGAATTCCAATTTTTTTTTTCTATCTGTCGCTGCTGCCAAAATTTTTTTTGCGATTTTTTTTTTATTTGGGGGTTTTTAACCGAGAGAATTCGAATTCCGTGGTTGATGTAAGTGAACGTGCCGTTGTCAGTCACGATCGATCCACTGCTAGGGCAAGGCCTCCTCGAGCCCCTGGCATCTCTGGCGATCTCGCGATGTCACGATACAATACACGACGGTACGTTTTGGATTCTCGCTTTACGTGCCGCGTCCTGTTTAACGATATCGTCGAACATGGCCTCCCCTTCCTCTGGCTCTCTCCGTGATAATTCGCTCAACAACTTGGCAATGCGTACTCCTCCCAGTCGCATCCAATTGCTTACGCAACATAGTTCTCCGTCTCCCCAGGCTTGTTGTGGTACCTCTAATGTCCACGGCCAAAATTACATTTACGACCGCGATCTGCAGAGTCCCTCTGAAGAGAGTGTTTTTTTTCACGACTCCTTCAAGGTGACCAGACATCTTTGAAGAGGTGTAAGTACCCACACTTTACCCCCCCCCCCCCCCCCCCACACGTGACATCAGAATTCTGAATCTTTATTTGTCCTGGATGGAATCTGACGATCTATGAAGCTCTGGACAGGAGCGGAGGTGGGGGGGGATTTAAGAAACTCGCACCGTTTTAACCGCCGTGCGGGGTGATCGAATCGAACCTTCGACCTCTGGATTGTAAGTCCAGCGTGCTGCTGACCACTACCACCGCGGTGGCGGGACTGTTCGCAAGACATTGAACGATTGCCGGCATGCGACGCGACTGTGAATAACCCCAAGATAAACGCGCTCTCTCCACCCGAGTTTGTACGTCTGATTTAACGACGTTCAATTCCATTAAATACACATTTACGCATTAAAACACGTTTACTATAATTGATAGCTTTCCATAGTTCCAGTTGAAGTCAAGCTGCACTTTGTATTTTACACTATCGAGTTATTTAGTTTTGCTTTGAAGCCGCTGATGCTTTTTAGCCGGTTTAATTGTGGGCGTCTTTTTTTGGCAGACAATTTTGTGTTGTTCTGTGTGTGTGTGCATTCTCTCCCCCCCCCCCCCCCCATTCCCAAGTGACGAAGCGCACGCGTGCGCTCATCTGCTCCGCGATTCGCCGTGCGCGCTCTCAACCCGGCCGGCGTGTTTTGCGACAGTCGCTGTTTATATTAATTTATTTTTCTTCGCGCTCCGCGGTTCGTGCTTTCGAGTTGTTGTTTTTTTTTTTGGCCGCACCGAGGACCCGGGCAAAAGTTGAGTTTTTGTTGTTGTTGTTGTTGATTTCCCGGTAGGTAGCGGACCACCGAGAGCGGGAGGGCGTCATCCAAAATCGGTCTTTTTTGGTTCAGTTTACTTCCCTCGTCGACGACAGCCGTGAGGAATCCACTGCTGGATGATGAATGCCTTCGAAGCCCCCCCCCCCCCCGAGTATCATCGCTGGCGCATAGGCAGGAAACGTTTTTTTTACGTGAATCAAATCAAGACAATTCATCAAGCCGCCGGGTGGGTTGTGGAGCGAAGCGTCACACGGCTAAGTAAGTTGACTGACACGATGGGACATCCTGTAGCGTCGCAGCCTGCGGCGCTGCCTTCGCAGGCTGCGCGTGTGCCTGCCACTGGCTCAGCCCCAGGTCGACTCGGCCTCACACGAACGCCTCGGTGCGGCGTATAAACATCAGCGCTGGGGAGACAAAGGCGGCCGGGCGTGGTGTTGGCCACCCATCCACTCGTGTGCAGGGCCAGCCTTCATAGGCGTTTAACAGCACTTGCCTGTGGAGGCTATACGGGGGTTCTTTGTGCGATCGACAAAGGGGCGATACATTGAACGATGACACAGACAAACCCGCGTAGATGTCTTACAAGTGTCAAGATTTGTAGTGTGGTCAGTCGTTTGTGTTTTTTTGGCACGGGTGGGGGGTGATTCTAATTGGGTGTTCTAGAATGGAACGATCGTATTTTTTTGCAAGTCTGGCTCCGGCCCACAGCTGGCAACGCGGTCACGTCGCTAACAATCGAGGCGCGTAACAGAATAACGGAGCGGCTAACAAATACACCCCGTTCCCTTGGATCATTCCTCCTTCCGCACAAAAACGAGATCGCGGCGTGCGCGCGCGCGCGCCTTGAACGAGTACAGCCTCTGCGCGCGGGGCGTGCATCATTTTGGGCGGCATCGCTTCAACACACAAAGCAGCACACACGCGGGATCTGCGTTGACTTTATCGGTGTCTCGTGAGCGGAGGGAGGGGGGGGGGGGGGCTCGTTCGAGACAGCGCTGGCGAACTTTGCCGGCTGTTTATTTAGGCGAGGATTCTGGTTTCGGCACAGGGCCGTGCCATTGTACACAACGCACGGCACGATCTACTTGGCTGTCGTAAGTGGGGCATATGCAGGTTCCTCTCGCTCTGTGCGGGTTCGGCTTTGTGCGATTTCGCGCTGTATACGGGGGGGGGGGGGGGCTAACCTATTTCCACCCACAATTCGCTATATGCGGTTTTAATTCACTCTGCGTGCGGCCGGACGTGGGACACCGCGTGTGGACTGTGTGTACAGGCGGTGCATCGGCCACTCATCTCGGTCAGTCGACCCCGTGACACCTGCTGGGTTTGCGCCGTGGCCTCCTGCCAGCGGGCGTTCGACGCTTCACGTGATGGCCTCAACGTGCACCTAGTCTGGCACAAGCGCCGTCGTGACGTCACCGCCACTTAGTGGCGAATGGCGGTTGTTGTTGTTGTGTACTGTGTGTATTATTTGTGTCGTGAGTGTGTACCGTGTGTGTGTACTGTGTACCGTGTGTGTACTGTGTGTGTTGCGTGTATGTACTGTGTATGTACTGTGTGTATGTACTGTGTGTATGTACTGTGTGTGCTACTCGGCATGCAGGTGTCTCCTCGTGCCGTTTCGCGTTGTGTCCCCCCGCCCCCATTACTGGAACGCATCTACGACAATCACTGTCTCAACCACCACCACTAGCGCACCGAGCGAGGTGCGAACAAGTTCGAGCGGAGTGAAACATTTTATTTTAAATTCCCGCGTGAGCCCGCGTGTAAAACCACGCGGCGAGGAACAGCGCACACCTTACTCACACACTCCTTACTCACTACTTACTCACTCCTTACTCCTTGTCGCCAAGTCGACCATCTGCCTTGGGGCCCGAATCTCAACGCAAAACATCACCCTCCTCCCCCCCTCCACCTCTTCGTAAATTAATGGCTCAAACGAGCCACCCTGAATAAACATTCCATTAAAAAAAACTGCTGATGCGACGCACAGCTTGCAATATGATAGCGAGAGTCATAAAGATATTTGTTGCAGGGGTTTATTGTTGTGCGTGTAGCGAGTTCTGCCCCTCCGCGTATATTCGATTTTGTGCGCGCGCACGCACGCGCGCAC